TTTCCCCCCCCGTTGTTGCCCCCACTTGCTCGCAGCCCTCAGGACTGGGACCAAGGATGTTGTCACCCTGGAGCCACCAACGTGTCGTGACCCCTCCGGGTGCAGGTGGGTGACGGGGGTGGGGACTGCTTGAGGTGGGGGTGGCATGTCTCTGGGGACCTGGTGGCCCACGTGTCCCTGTGCCCGGGGTGCCACATATTCCCCTGTGGGGCTGGAGCTGGGCATGGGACAGGGGACCCTCCTGTGGGTGCTGGCCTGGGTCACCAGTACAGGGGGGCTGCCCCACATCTCCTCTGTTGCCCCTGCACCTCTCCCTGCCCCACATCTCCTCCTGTGCTCCCCCTTCTTGCCCCACATCTCCTGTTGCTGCATGGCCATGTGCACCTTCTCTGTCCTTATATTATCCATCTTTATATAGTTCTTCTATCATCTGCCCTTATATTGTCCATCCTTATATTGTCCATCTTTATGCCCCCCCTGGCTTTGGTAGCGGCAAGTATCCCCTGCTATGCCCTATAGATTCCTGAAAAGCTCCCCAGCACTGCCCTATAGCCCGTGTGTCCCCAGCTGTGCTCTGCAGATCCCTGAAAAGCCCCTCCCTGCCCCAGCAGCCTGGATCTCCTCCTGCTTCTTCCCAGCAGCCAGGATCTCATCCCAGCAGAGGAGGAACCCAGGTAGACAGCAAGGTCCTTCACCTGGCCAGACCTCGGGATCAGAACATGCTTCTGCCCACCTTCCCTGCACGCGTGGAGCATGCCAGGTGTCCCCGTCCTCCAGCCATCTCCATCTGCACCCTTGGGGACCTCATGTAGGATGCAAAACACCCGCCCCACCTGTGATGCTGGAGGTGATGCTGGAGGTGCTCCAACACAAGTCTCCCTGCCCATGTACACGTGGCATCGGCTGCACCAGCTGATTCAGTGGACCATCTGAAATGCTTGCTCTTACCCTTGCTCTTCAATGACTCCCTGTGCCACCTTCCCTGGAGCAGGAGGCTTCTCTGAGCAACAGAGGCATCCGACAAGCCCTTTCCCTTCCCCACGAGGCGTTCCCTGCCTCCAACAGTGGCTACTGCTCTCGGTGCAATGTTTGCAAGAGGATGCTCACCTAAAATCAGTGTCCCGTGCGGAGGGGCAGTGCAGGAAGTGGTTTGAAACCCAAGTAAAGTGGGTACAGCAAGTTACGGCTTCATTTCTTCATACCTTGGTGGCCATTTCTAACTTACTCAACCTTATTTTATTTTATTTAAACAACTGGAGGAAAAAAATAATTGGCAAAAGGAGCTTGCTTTGCCTTCCACCCTCCGTATGAAGGTCTCTCCAGACATTTGCCCTGAGGCAAGCATTTCTGGGGGTGGTTGATACCAAGCAGCCACACCAATCTCCATTGGCTGGCTGCGGGCTCCAGCTCACCTTCAACAAAGCCCAAAACTGAATTCGTAGCTTAGTCAGAACTTTGTTGTAGTGAACTCAAGGTTTGTTCCTGAGGTTGAATCCTAAAAGCAATGCCAAATCAATGCCTGCCACAGCTGTTTTTGACCGATGAGATGGTTGAAGTCCTCAGGTCAACCACGAGACCCCATCCCAGACCTGGGTGAGCTGAAGGGGAGGGAACAGTCGTGACAAAGACGGCAGCTTAAGCCAAGCAAGAAAGGAGAATAAGAGCTAGGCAGGAGGACATGGTGTCTGGTGTCCTCTGCTCGGCAATTAATAACTGGGAGATCCTTGGCTGACCTGCTGCCAGTTGTGGTCCCACGGGCATGTCTGCAGCCTCACCACCCACATTTGCCGGTGGGGATGGAGAAGAGGACCTCTTGCAGATGGCCTCAGTGGGTTTGGGCCGAATTCCTGCTTCAGATCTGAATGACATAGTAGCTGAAAGTGGAAGAGGCTGCTCTCCTTCCCTGCCAAGAGCACTTGCTGCCTGTCCCAAGCTTCTGAGATGCTCCTGAAGGGTTGCCATGCTGGTGCCCACACCTGATCCACTGGTCTCAGCCCCTTTGGTGGGGCCATACCGGAGTCTGCTCCCCATCAAGGTGATGGGCTATTTGATGCTCATCCATTTTCTTGTCTGTTGGCTATGGAGTCTGCATTGTGTATGAGCAGGCACACTCGCTGGGGCGAAGCTAAGACACTACAACCAAGCCCTGCAACTCCCCCAGCCCTCCCCGTCCCCCTTCTGATGTCCTCTTGCACAGTGGACCTATGCGATGTCACCCACAGCAGCTGCGGCCAGAGGATGCTTGCTGGTCACCAAGGATCAAGCTGAAAGTAGAAGATTCAGTTCCCCTTCATCCACTGGACTCCACGTGATGCAAGAGCCACTGAGGAGCCGGGGGATGGAGTGTGGAAAGTGTCCTCTCCCAGCTGCCTTCATCACGTCTTCAGCATATTTCTTCTCTAGCTGGTGATGGTGGACCTGATCTCAGCCCCTGCCAAGCCTACCTCTTCCTGCACCCCTGCCAGGCTGGGAGAAGCTTCTCCAAAAGTCCTTTGCTGTCCGCTGGGCACCCTATGGGCGACAGACTATCCATCCATGCTGGTCTTGGGGCTGCAGAGATCCTCCTCATCCTAGCAGGGCTGTGTGGTGAGTGCTCTCGTATTTCCCCCCCGCATCCCCTCCTCCCCAGTGCTGGTTGAACGCCGCATTTTGGGATGTGGCATGCCAGAGTGCTGCTGCTCCTCTTCGTTTCTGGGCGGTTTGATTGTGGTTGCTGCAAATTTGTAAGGTGCGCGCTTAGAGCAACACCCGTGGTTTCATGGTTAAGGTGGATGTGTAGACCAACACCCATGGTTTCATGGTTTCTTAAATTGCATGCTTAGAGCAACACCCATGGTTTCATGGCTTCATAAGGTGCGCGTGTAAAGCAACGGGTGCTTCTGCAAGTAGGGTAGACACAGACCTGCCAAGCCCAGCTGCAATGGGCAGCTCTCCTCCAGCTGATGGCTGCAAAAGACTTGAGGCTCCCTCAAAAGTGCCAGTATCTTCTAGAAGGTACATGCCATGAAGAGAGGAGAAATTTTTATGGTGGTAGAGTTGCACAGCACATTAGGAATAAGCAGTGAAAAGTGGGAACCAAGTGCACTGAGTGTGTTGCTGCCATTTCAGTAGCACTGACGATGGCCTATGGAGCTTTGAATGGCCAAAAAATGAGGAGGAATGGGATTTACGTGCCCTGTGATGGGGAAGGCCATATCACAGTGTTGATGTGCTTGGGTCAGGCTGCTCTGAAGAAGCAGGATGCGTGCTTGCAGAAAGTAAGGGAGCCCTTTGCTCAGCTCCTACCCTGGGGTCAAGGCTGTTCATCCAGCAAAGCCAGGTTAGAGCTGTGGGTCAGAGTCCCTGGCACCTTGTGCTCCAGCTGCACAGTCTTGCTCAAAATCACTCCCACAAAAAGCCTGCAACTCAGTTACCCGTGCTGGTGTTGTGCTTAGGGAGTTCATCCTGCAACTTGTGCAGAGTCAAGCACTTAAAAAGCAATTAGCAAAGCGTCTTAATGTATTTTGGCCTTCATGGTTTTGAGGGACACTATTCTCAGCTGGAAAAGCCTGGAGGTTACTCAAGGGCCAGCTGCCATGTGTCCCCCTGAAAATAATTATAATAAAATTATAGTTGTTCATCTCTTTCTCTCTCTCTTGCTGGTTCTCCCCCATTCCTTTAGGCCAACAAGTGTCAATATGCTTTCCCAGCTGCTCTCTAGCCTCTTGCATGATTTCCCATTAACATCTCCTTCCCTTTGCTCTCCATTGTCACCAGCGTCAGGTCCTGCCAACGTAAGGCTGGTGAATGGCCCTGACCCCTGCACGGGCCGGCTGGAGGTGTTTTACAATGGTACCTGGGGGACAGTGTGCGATGACCACTGGGACCTCAATGGCGCCCGCGTGGTCTGCCAGCAGCTGGGCTGCGGGATGGCGCTGTCGGCCGTTGGCGGGGCTCGCTACGGGCGAGGAGCAGACCCCATCTGGCTGGACAACGTACGGTGCACTGGGACAGAGGCTGCCCTTTCCGAGTGCCAGGCACGACCCTGGGGAGCCCACAACTGCGGGCACGGGGAAGACGCCAGCGTTGTGTGCTCAGGTGAGGAGCACGCACCCACCATGGCTGCATCAGCTGCTGTGGACAACCAAAGGGTTAAACAGTAGGCAGGACAGCTGTTGTGCCTCTTGCTATTGATTGGTTGCCCCTTCTTTTTGACTGATAGCCACTCCTTGTTGAGTGGTTGCCCCTTCTTTTTGACTGATAGCCACTCCTTGTTGAGTGGTTGCCCCTAGCTATTGAGTGGTTGCCCCTTGCTGTTGACTGGTGGCCAGTTCTCGTTGACTGGTCGTCCCTTCTTGTTGGCTGGTTGCCCCTTGTTGTTGACTGGGTGTCCTCTGATTGTACAGTGAGTGTAGGCACCCAGCTCACAGATAGACACGTAATTATGGCCGCTGGCAGGTAGGACCCTTAATTTTGAGCTGGATCTGGCCCCTACAGGTAGGCAGAATTACTCCCTCCCTACCTAATTTTGTGAAGAATTAGCCTCTTCACACCATTGCTCCAGGCAATTTCCAAATGCTGGTCTCGCCTTCCAAAGCTCTCCACATCTTCCGGCATTGAGGCTGCAGATCCCTGGCCATTTCTCAGCCCAACTACCTCTTGGCTTCACGGGGATGAACCCCTTCATGGGCATAGCCTGTCGGATGCCATCTGGGTTTGCTGGGCAGGAGACCCTGCTCCTAAGCATTGCCGGCGATGGCATGCACAGCAAAGTCTCTGACTGTTTGCTCCCCGGGGGTGTTTGCAGGGGCACCCGTTCCAGGTTCGACCCATACCAGGCTGGTGAATGGCTCCAGTTTCTGCTCTGGCAGAGTTGAAGTCTTCCACAATGGTGAATGGGGTACCGTGTGTGACGACAACTGGAGCCTGGAGGACGCCAAAGTGGTGTGCAGGGAGGTGGGCTGTGGCCAAGAACTGTCAGCTCCGTCCGGGGCTGCCTTCGGGCAAGGGTCGGGGCCCATCTGGCTGGACGAAGTGACCTGTGCTGGGACGGAGGCTGCCCTTTCTCTGTGCTGGGCCAGGTCCTGGGGAAGCCATAACTGCAACCACGGAGAGGATGCTGGCGTTGAATGCACAGGTATCTCTTCACTGGTGCCCCATCAGGGCTGGCACCCAGGCTATCATAGTTTTTTTTGGTTTGTTGTTTTTGTTTTGGTTTGGTTTGGTTTTGAGGGAGGGGTGGAGAAAAGAGCAGAAGACCTTTGAAATGGTCCTGGATGTAGATGTCCCTATTGCAGCCCTGCCAATGGAAGCAGGAAGAATCCTCTGATGGGTGGGTGTGTGCTGGGGAAGGGAAAAGGGAGCTTCAGAGGGGACATCCATCCAAATGTCACCTGCCAGGGAGGGTGATGAGTTTGGAGAGGTGGTGAGCACCTGAGGGGAGCCTGCTCTTCTCATTTTGGGTGGGCAACCTCGTCACCCTCCAGCTGTGAGGTTCTGGGATGATTGAAGGACCGATCAGCTCCAGCCCTGTCACCTCCTGGGACATCCAGATGTTTTTGGCACTCGTCTCTTTTCAGAACCGACTCAGGTCCGGCTGGTGAATGGCTCCAGCCGCTGCTCAGGGCGAGTTGAGGTCCACCACAACCAGCAGTGGGGGACAGTGTGCGATGACAGCTGGGACCTGAACGATGCTGAGGTGGTGTGCCGGCAGCTGGGCTGCGGGCTGGCCATGTCAGCCCCTGGCAGGGCTCTGTTTGGGAAAGGACACAGTCCCATCTGGCTGGATGAGGTGAACTGCACTGGGATGGAAGGTGCCATCACTGAATGCAGCTTCAGGCCCTGGGGAGCCCATAACTGCAACCACAGTGAAGATGCGGGTGTCATATGCTCAGGTAAGCCTGGCCCAGGTCATGGCTTCAAGGAGAGTTTTTCTGTAGGTACACTTGCATCTAATTTCAGTTTGCTTCCCTCCATGCGCATTGTTTTCCTTCGGGTATAATGCCGTTGCAAGCAACAGTCAAAAATACTCAGGAGGTGAGATAGCTCTGCTTCTGTAGGCATCATATCAATAGACTATCTGGATGCATTCCTGCCCATTTGTGGCAGTCCTCTGTCTGACACCTTAAAATGTCAGTTCTCAAGTGGCTTGCCACATCCATCCTGCACACCTGTTCCGGATGTTGAAGTGCATTTCAGAGGAGGCATTTGGGCATCAATGTTTGCCATGTGTGGCTGGAGGCTTCTCCATCTTTGTGTCTCAAGCTTCTGGATCTCTAGAGGTAGTCCAAGATGGAAAGACATCCCCCCCCATTCCTCCAGCTTGCAGTGGGATGCCAGCTCTGTCTTCCCAGAAGACAAAACTGGGTGGGTTCAGGGAATATTTGCAAGGAGCTGCAGTAGAGCAGAGCAAACAGAGAAGCACCATGAAAAGACTCTCCTCCTTGACAGAGCCAAGCCAGTCCAGCCTTCATTGACTAGAGTAAATAAACACAGGTTTTTAAAGCATTTCCTCTTTAGTTGTGTTCTCCAAGGGAGATGTAGTCACTCTAGGAGACCTCTGAAGCACACTCATGGTTTGGACATGGATGTCCAAGAGTCTTCTTGGCATTGCCCAAGGGAAACACTCTCTCCGAGGCATCCCACAGTGTTTTTAGCTTCTCCTAAATACAACCAGGTCTTTCTGTTGCTTCCAACTGAAGACGCTGATGTGGATGGGGGAAGCACGATTACGCACTCTTACCTTGTATGATTGCATGTCATCACCAACACCAGCAGGGTGTCTGCTTCAGAGGGCTGAGGTGTACCATGCCCCCGTTTATTCATTTGTCTCATTCCCCCTTTTAGACCCCACGGAGCTACGGCTGGTGAATGGCCCGAATCGCTGCACTGGGCGCCTCGAGGTGCTTCATGACCAGCAGTGGGGGTCCGTGTGTGACAACGACTGGGACATGGAGGATGCCAAAGTGGTGTGCCGGCAGCTGGGCTGCGGCGCTCCAATCTCTGCTCCAGGCTGGGCTAGGTTTGGCAGGGGCTATGACCCCATCTGGTTGGAGACGGTCAGCTGCCAGGGGACGGAGGCTGCCCTTACCGAGTGCAGAACCCAGATGCAGGGCACCCACAGCTGCCACCACGGGGAAGACGCCAGTGTGGTGTGCTCAGGTGACCCCCCAACCGCATTCCTGCCGTGTGTCTGTAGGAAAAGCTGTGCCACCACCGAGCCATACGTCCCTTTCCTCCAGAGGGAAGGGAATGATAATTCCCTTGATACTAGTGATAATCATGATAATAATGGTAATAAGGGCAAGGGATGCAAGGGGGATCCCATCACTGCTGCTTTTCCCATGTTCCCTGGCTCATTTTCATCCCAAGTGGACAAACACTGAGCATCTCCATGGTGTGAATGACCATGCTGGGTCCCACAGGAATCCCTGTTTCATGAAGGTGTCACGTCAGGGAGCCGAGAGTAGGGGGGGGCCACAGTCCTGCGTGAGATCCCATGCCCAGGACCACTTCCACCAGCCCTTCCTGAAGGGTTTTTGGTTGTCCTTCTTCATTCCAGACCCGATGGCACTTCAGTTGGTAGATGGCCCACACCGCTGCGCTGGGAGGGTCGAGGTGCTTCGTCAGGAGGAGTGGGGGACAGTGTGTGATGATGGCTGGGACCTGCAGGATGCCGAGGTGGTGTGCTGGCAGCTGGGCTGTGGGGCAGCAGTGGCAGCCCCGGGCTTCGCTCACTTTGGCCGGGGACGTGATCCCATCTGGCTGGACGAAGTGAACTGCACAGGGACCGAGTCCGCCCTTTCCGAATGCAGGGCCAAGCCGAAAGGAGTTCACAAGTGCCACCACGGAGAAGACGCTGGTGCGGTGTGCTCAGGTAGTTGCTGTTCCTCTGCTGATGAGCTCCTGGGGGGGTACCAATACTGCAGGAGCTCCAGGACCGGTTTTCCTTGTTTATCTCTGATGATGTTCTTTCCACATGGGAATCCTCAAATCTCTGAGCCAAGACAGATGCTGAACATGTGGGGATTCATCCTCCAGCTCACATCCAACACTTGCTTTCTCCATCACTAGGTCTAGCACCACAAGGTGACACCTCTCTATCTTCCCATTTCAGACCCTACTGAGGTCCGGCTGGTGAACGGCTCAAATCGCTGCTCTGGGAGAGTTGAGGTCCTGCACAACCAGCGATGGGGAAGTGTGTGTGATGACAACTGGGACCTGGATGACGCAGAAGTAGTGTGCCAGCAGCTGGGCTGCGGGATGGCTGTAGCTGCTCCACCCAGAGCTCAGTTTGGGATGGGGCACGAGCCCATCTGGCTGGACGATGTGAACTGCACTGGCACCGAGGCTACCCTGTCTGAGTGCAGGGCCAGACCGTGGGGAGAGAGTAACTGCAACCACCAAGAAGATGCCAGCGTGGTGTGCCAGGGTAAGCCACCCCATACCCCATCGTGGTGCAGCTCTGGAAGGAGCAAAATGGGCACATGGATAACTCAGTGGTTAAACACCTCCACTCTGCTCACATTAAGCTTCTTGCCTCTGTATAGGAACCAATTTCAGGTTGTCTGAGAGCAGCAGCTCCCCTTGGCCACCCTGAGGACTTGCTGCCAGAAGAACAAGTGTCCATCCCCAACCACCACCTTGCTCTCCCCTATAATGGCTTAACTGGTCCCTTGACTCTGCTATGAGCATCCTTTCCTTCTTCATATGGGCATGCTGCTAATGTGGCATGTTTTGTCACTGTACTGTAAAGTCCCTTGAACCTCCCCTCTACCTTGGGTCCATCTTGTCTGGTTGGACTGCCAGGACACCAGCATCTCGTGCCACTTGCGATGCACTGGCCTCCTGCCACCACTCCAGTTGGAGGTGGGTCTCCCATTCAGCCCTGTGTCATGGCTGCCCCCTCCTCATGGGTTTCTTGGGTGCCTGAGGGCACATAAAATGGGATCAGATGCCCATGTTTATGCCAGTGACAGTCTCCACATTACCTTGCAGGTGGTCACCATTTGAGGACCCATATTCCAATGCATGGGCAAGAAACATATATGTGTTTGACCTCCACGTGTCTTTCATAATTCCAGGTCTAGCTCAGCTCCGGCTGGTGAATGGCTCCAGCCGCTGCTCCGGGAGGGTCGAGGTGCTTCGTAACCAGCAGTGGGGGACGGTGTGTGACAACGGCTGGGACCTAAATGATGCCGAGGTGGTGTGCCAGCAGATGGGCTGTGGGGTGGCTGTGTCAGCTCCAGGCTCGGCTCATTTTGGGCCAGGGTCCAACCATATCTGGCTGGGTGAAGTTGAGTGCACGGGGGCAGAAGTTACCCTCTCCGAATGCAGGTCCAGGATGGAGGAACCCATTAATTGCCACCATGGGGAAGATGCTGGTGTTGTGTGCTCAGGTAATTTTTATTATTATTATTATTTGAATGACATTATTCAGGGGAGTGTTGGGCTGTGTGGCTGGAAAGGTGACTTTGCTGGTGGCATGGTCTCCTCTGAGCCTGGGTAGCACCAAACCCCATGGAAGAGCTCAGGTCACTCTTCTGCAGAGGTCTGACCGCCTTGTTCAGTGACTGGTCTTGCTGATGAAACCCTGGGGATGTGGAGGACCCAAGCAACCTGAGAAATGCTAAGCACAAGAATCTGAGCAAAGCAATGAGAGATGCGCAATCAAGTCTTCAAGGGGAAGGGAAGAAAGAGGTTTTACTTAGGGACCTAGAGGGTGAGATGTAGAATTTGTTGCAATCCAGAAAACCACCAAAAGCTGCTGGACTGAGAGCAGGGTAGGAAGAAGGGACCCATCATACAAAGATGCCAGTGGTCAGGAAGGGAAGAGTTTTACAAATTCCACTGCTTTTGTTCTTTTCCAGCAAACATGTCTGAATTTTCTCTATTTCAGCAGTTTTCTTATTTTAGTTGACATTAAAGCCTAGCTTTAAATACCCAGCGTCCCTCTGGTGTTGGGCAATGTGCATTAGCCACTACGAGCAGTGCAGATGTGGAAGGAGACCTCCAAAATGGTGACTGCCTTGTCCCATTTCAGACCCCCCGGCATTGCGGCTGGTGAACGGCTCAAGCCTCTGTGCTGGGAGAGTTGAAGTGCTCCACGAGCATCAGTGGGGGACCGTGTGTGATGACAACTGGGATGAAGAGGATGCCACGGTCGTGTGCCGACAACTGGGCTGCGGGACGGTGGTGTCAGCCCCTGGTGCAGCTCAGTTTGGGAAAGGGCGCAATGCCATCTGGCTGGATGACGTGAACTGCACAGGGAAGGAGGACACCCTCTCGGAGTGCCTGGCCAGGCCATGGGGGACACACAACTGTGACCATGGGGAAGATGCCAGTGTGGTGTGCTCAGGTAACGTGGCCGCTATTGGTTTGGAAAAGGGTCTGAGCATGCCCCAACCCTGGAAAAAATCAAGGTCAGGTTGGATGGGGTTCTGAGCAACTTGATCTAGTTGAAGATGTCCCTGCTTATTGCAAGGGGTTGGACTAGATGACCTAGGGTCTAGAGAACAAGTCTTATGAGTAGTGGCTGAGGCAACCAGGGTTGTTTAGCCTGGAGAAAAGGAGGCTGAGGGGAGACCTTATCGCTCTCTACAACTACCTGAAAGGAGGCTGTAATGAGGTGGGTGTTGGTCTCTTCTCCCAAGTAACAAGTGATAGGACAAGAGGAAATGGCTTCAAGTTGCGCCAGGGAAAGTTTAGATTGGATATCAGGAAAAATTTCTTCACCGAAAGGGTTGTCAAGCATTGGAACAGGCTGCCCAGGGAAGTGGTTGAGTCACCATCCTTGGAGGTATTTAAAAGATGTGGTGCTTAGGGACATGGTTTAGTGGTGGCCTTGGCAGTGTTGGGTAATGGTTGGATTCTATGATCTTAAAGGTCTTTTCCAACCTAAATGATTCTATGACCTTTAAAGGTCCCTTCCAACCCAAACCATTCTATGCTGGTGTGATCTCCCTGCTCCAGCTTGGAGGGTGCACGCCTGTGAGTGGCTCAGGAGGCAAAGACAAGGATGTGCACACTGGAGAGCAAAGATGGGCTTTCATTCAGCCCAAGCTGGGTCCTATGTTTGTAGACCCCGCTGGAATCATCTTGAGCACCACAGCCAACAATGTCATCTCAGGATGGGCGTTCCCAAGTAATGCACTCAGCACAAGTTGGAGGGGAATGATCCTGACCATAGGAAGTGTTACGATAAAAACCTTTCAGGAGGAAAAGCCACAGCATGGGGAATATCCTCATGGCTGAACTGGGAAGATGATGGCCATGGTTAGTGTTGGGAAGACTTGTCCCAGCATCCAGCCTTGCCCTTCTTTTCCCACCTAACTTCAGACAAACCTCAAAGCTTCTGTGGTCCCCTCAAGGCCAGTGGGAACATAGAGGTATCTCCATGTTCTTCTAAGAAGGATGTCTGTGTCCAGTGAGTTATCCAGGACTGGATGTACTTGCTTAGGAGCCACCTGGACTCAAATGCAGTCTCCTTCGGGAGAGTACCACATGAGTGGTAAATCCCGCAGGCATCTCTGTCTTAACTGGTCACTCAGGCTTCTTTGAGGAGAGAAATGGGTAACCATGGGATGTGGTTTGCAGAAGGGACCATTCTGCAATCGTCCAGCCCTGATAGGGCCCACTAGGAATAAGCCGCTCTGCAGATTGCCCTGGTTGCAGCAGTCAAGAGTGGTGGCACCTTGAATGACCTTGGCTTCCCCAGCAGTCCACTCTGGAAGCATAGACAGTCATGATACACCAGAATATGCATGGATATGGGCGTTGAATGGCCATGACCAGTGCAAAGGTGCTACAGCACTGAGGGGACCATGCCTGATGGTGACAGGGTCTTAGCAGAAGCTTTCTTTTTATCTCCTTTCCTGAATCATACAATCACAAAACATTGTAGACTGGAAGGATCTCTGGGGAGCTCTCGTCTAATTTTCCACTCTCTATTAGACCAACTAGACCATGTTGTTCATGGCCTTGACCAGTGAAGATGGGAAAGTCCCCAAGGATCAAGATCCAAATGCCCTCCTCATCTCTGTTACAATATTTAACCAGCCTCATGGGAGAAAAGAGTATTTTCTGCTGCCTAATGGGAATTTGCCACAGTGCACACTGTGCCCATTTCCTCATGTCCTCATTATGTCTGTTTATCTCCTGAATTAGCTCTGGATGAAGAGATGTTTGCTTTCTCTCCACAGGCTATGTTACCGTCAGACCTCCACAGCCTCTGCCACTGCGCCCATTGCTGGTCTTGATCATCCTTTCAGTCTTGATGCTGGTCTGCGGGGCTCTTCTGTACCAGAGGAGGAGGCGAATGCAAAACAGGTCTTCTAATTTCCCCCAAGGTGAGCTCTGCTGCGGGTGAAGAGGGCAACGGAGCTTGTAGAAGTAGTGCATGTTGGAAACGAGTTTTATTCAAAACATTGATGTCAGCAGAGTTGGGACAGAAGGTTGTTTTTTTTTCCCGTGGCTTGTGTTGGAAGGAACTTCCTTTTCTGGTTTGACCTCTTCTCTCCCTGTCTTTTTCCCCTTTCTTTCTTTCCACTATTCCCCTTTCACTTTGACACCATCTTCCCTGCTGGGTTACAGACACACTGGGAGGTGGGACAGCCCTTGAAGCCTCCTCTAACACTGCCTGCGCTTCCTTCTGCTGCCTATGCTGCCTGTACATCAGACAGGAGCTCTGAGCAGAGAATGGCTCTATGGGTTCCTAGCTCCCTGTTGGCAAGATATGTTCCACCTTTAGCCCAAGGGGTGAGAAAAGACCAGGAATTTTGTCTGTTCCTGAAGTTTCAGGGCTGTGGTAGAGACTCTTGGAAAGTGGGGTTGAGTGGTTGGGATTGCCTGTGTCGAACATCTCCATGTTGTCTTGTTGAATGTCCATCACGTTGATGAAGAGTACTGTGTGGACCAAATGCTGGATCAAGGGTGGTTTCTGCAAAGCAGGCGTCATGCCTGAGTGCTGGCAGGGACGATGGTTGTATGCCCTGTGCTGCCACCATTGTAGGCCAAGCCAAAGTGATTTGTGCTGTCTCCAATGGAGCAAGCATCCTCAGTCTTGTTAAAAGGGGGAAAATTCAGGCTGTGTGGAGCAAACTGTTGACTGAATCACCATGCTCTGCAGGTTCTGTGCGCATGGAGGAGCTGGTTGTCTCTGACACGTACCTCTTGATGCCGGGAGAAGAGCAAGCAGCAGCCAAGGTGGCTCCTGCTGGGAATGCTGACAACAAGAGAGCTCAGCACAGCCTGTGACCAGCCCAGACCTAAAACTCCAGTGATGCAGCTCCGTCCCAGCACACAGCTCTTTCACCAAGGGCCCAGGACCACCTCATCTCTACAGAGCTAGGTCACTACATCCACCACCCATCTCCATGCCCACCTTGGTCAGTTAACCTGAGCGATACAAGGCATGACACATACTGTGTGGCACCAATGGCCTGCCCGCAGAAGATATTTGATGCATAGAAATTTAATTTTTTTTTTTTTCAAATTTCTCTTTCAAATTTTTTTTGGTGCATTTTTGAAAATAAAAACATTCTGTAAGACTTGAGCAGTGTTTTAATCTTGGAGGGTTTTTTTCTTCTTTTTTTTATAGCCAGTCAGCGGAGGCTGCAAAGTTTACCCCAAAGTATATGCCAGGGGCTTGTTTCCCTACAGTGGTTAAGTTGAACAGTTTTGCAAACTGCACCTGAAAGCTCAGTTTAGGCCTCATGCAGATATTTATAGAGCCATCTGAGATGCCCTAGTTTTAGGACACTGATATGGGACTGGCAAATGTGACAAAGGACCTACAGCTCAGTAGATGTATCTGTATGGCGGCTAGTAGATTTTGCTGATCTCTTCCATCTGCTGTATTCCCAAACACACTCCTGTGCCTTGTATCCTTGGACATCAGACTCCTGGGTTTTCTCAGAGGTCAGAGGCTTCTTGTGAAGGGCTTGGAGGGCATGGAGGTGCAAGTCAGCCATGCAGAGGAATGCTGGCAGGAGGTTTAAGAAGCTCTGGTCATAGAAATAAGCACTGGGTACCACTGCGGCTCATGCCAACCCAGGTGGTATGGGACTACGAGCAGCTGAGCAGCCCCCTGTGTTGAGAGGATGGTCCTGCTCAGGAAGGACCAGGAAAATAGAAAGGTAGTCAACCAGAGGGAAACAGACTGAGTGATGTGATAAATACGGTGGCTGTGGTGGGGGAAAAGCGTGAACATCTGTAAGGCAGGGGGAAGAGAGGAAACAGGGGATGCATGCTGGGTCACAGGGGCTTCGAAGATGAAGGTTGGGAGCGCCCTGAGAGGATTGACCAAGCTGGACAACAGAAGATGGTTTGCACAATGTGTGGAAAGCATCTGCCAAGGGAAATGAGGAGTGCACAAAAAGCCCAAACGGGCCAACAGCTTGGAGAACTAATGAGTAAAAGCTGATCCTACAGTATGCAGGACAATTGCAAAGGAGGACCAGACAAGACTATGGCCAAGTCCATGGCTGTGGTATGTATGGAGGAGTGTTGAAAAATAAGGCTTGCGAAGGTATTCTCTGAGTAGGAACTCTTTGTGTTAAACTTGTAGTAAGCCTTGCGTGAACATTTCGTAGTCCAGTTGATGGTGATGTTGGGAATTTTCATTTAATACCTGCATGGATGTGGGTTGGTCCTGGGCTCTATTGCACTAAACAGGAGTTGCCTGAGGCACACACTCCTTAGTTTCTGCCACTTTTCCAGGTCCTATGCTTACTTTTCTGCTGTTCCCTCAGTCTGAAGGTCAACGGCACCAGTCTTCCTCGTGCAAGGGGGCTTGGCAGTGGGTTATCAGGGATCCAAGCTTTTTCCTGGGAAAAGTGTGATGTTGATGGGATTTCTTCATCCTCCTCACCTTCTATTTTCAGATTCACATGTTTTCTGACATACCTTCGCACTTTGTTCTTCCCTTATCTGCCTGCAAATCAATATTGCACCCAAACCAACTATATATGGGGCTTTTTCTCTGTGTTGGGTACTTTTTCTTTGTTACTCCTAAAACTGTTTTTGTCCAGATACAGGCCTGCAAGCTGACGATCGGTGAGCTGCTAATAGCCTTGGGCTTTCCAGTGCGCCCCATCTCTCATCATCCCATGCCTGTCCCCTACACTGACTTGTGTGTTTCCACTTCTCTAGACTTCTGCTGTAACATCATCTTTATATTTCTCTCCGGGTTTGAGGGCCCCAAGGTACCCCTAGATACACTCCAAGGGCTGCTTCTGGAGGGTGGTAGGGGCTACAGCAGGGCTGGATCCTTCACCTCTTATCCAGTCTCCCAAAGCTATCTCAGCAGGTCTTGTCCCACCAGGCACCCAGGTCCTGGCACCATGACCTGGGGTATGCAACACATGATCCCTTTCGTGCTACAGGAACATCCCTTAGTCAGCTGAAATATACCTTACTTCAGGCACTTTGAGATGAAAACATACATCAGATTAATAGTTCTGCCTTAGGCCACAAGGACATCCTGTGCTGACCCCTGACTGCCTTGGTCCTGCTCTCTGCTAAAGAACAGGGCAACAGTCATTCCCCAAATGACCCTAATGAGGGTAACGGAGATACACACAGCAGGTTTTGCAGAGTTAGCTTTTCTTTCTTCTCGTTCCTAAAGCTGTGGCCCAGGGTTATGCTCTACCACAGAAGTACAGTTCCCTTTTCTGCCTTTTCCTGGCATCATTTAGAGGAGTTCAGCTCCAGGGTCCTCCCTTGCATGGCTGGGTGGTCATCTCAGGCTACTGCAGAGCCTCCTGCTCCTTCATCTTCTCTGCAGATGAGCTGTTCTGGACACATCCCTGGGTTGCTTCAGTTTGATGCAACCTGGATATTCGATCAGGGATGCTTGGTTGGCTCTTTGTGGAGGGCTGGGAGGTGAGACGGGAGATCCAGCCACCAATGTGGTGGGACAGGCAGTGCACCCACCACCCAACATCTCCTTGGGCACTAATTTTGACTCTAAAACCTGTCCATTCTTCAGGTTGTGTTTAAAGCCCATGGAGGCGGCAAGAAAGCGTTAGGAGTGGGGTAAAGCTCTTTTTAAGGGTATAAAAGGGATCTGGGTAGCTGAGCGCATGTGTCTAATGGCAATGAGGGACGTAGGGCACCCTTGCAAAAAGGAACTGACACCCATGCACAAGTCTCTGAAACATCCAAGGTTGGGGTGTGCTGGTCCTACATGCATTTTCCAGTCTGTCTCTCCAGTCCCTTTTAGTGTCCTCTGCAAATGGGCCCTGGGGGTAACTCCAGTCCATGCCCTGCTGCCCCAGGACACTGACACTTCTGACCCATCAGTCACGCTGCCTTCATGTGGTGATAAATAAGGCAATGGCCCTTGCTAACAGAGTTAATTCTTCATGGGCTATTCATTTTTGTGTCTCTTGAGTATCATTGCAGTGATGATCCCCCGGGAGGGAGCTCCTTTGGGAGGCCCTTGTGGGAGGTTCAGTATGGAGGACACCAAAGGATGGGAAGATGAAGGTATGGTGAGGGGTGTCAGTGTCTGGGCAGGCAGTGATTTGCTTCATATCCTCCTCCCCAGTCATGACCACGACACTGAGCACAGCTTAGGTCCCTCTCCAGTACCACCTCCTCCCTGCTGTCAGCCCTGGTGGGGCTGGACTCTGCCCCTGGAGGGTCTGCAAAAGCAGCTAGGACTGCTTGGCTGCCTGTGCCAGATCCAGAACCACAAGGATCCTCAGGGGCTCTGGGGCGGATCCGAAGGGCTTCCAGGGCATGTGGCAGCCCAGATGTCCAGGGATGGTGCTGGGGAGTCCTACAAGAAGGGGATCAGGTGTTTTGGATAAAAATTTTCAAGCTGTGCACTTCCTCCATCCCTGTTGGGGCTGATGGATTTTCACCAGCTCAAATTATTCTGTGGGATCTCTTCTTTACCTTTATCTAGACAGAGTTTGCAACAAATTAATTTATTGTTGAAGGGGAGGATGAGAGATTTTGGATGCTTCAGATCAGCGGAAGATGCTGAGATGTGAAGGCCAAGGGGTAGCACAAGATGAGTCTGCATTGCATCAGCCATGGTGGGCTGAACCATGGAGATGCTGGCATGTGCAGACCTCAGTCATTTGCAAAGACCCAGAGTGCTGAAGCGCAGATATCTGTGCTGGGCTGCCATTACAGTCACTGGGAGCAGTCAGCAGATTAAAACGAGCCGCATGAGAAGATCCTGATGGCTTCTCTCATCTTTCATCGCCGCCTTGCAGAGAACAGTTCGCAACACACAGCACCTGGAAGGTGCAAGCAAGTTTGGAGACTGTAAGGCAGTCACAGGATAGTGTTTCCAACTGCTTGCCCTCGAATAATAAGGTGATTTTCTGCCATCTAGCTACACATCCATGCAATGCAATGCAAGGAAATTCATGGTGCACCATGTCTGGCTTTGAGTGTTTTCATTTTCCAGTAGGCAGCTGCAAACAAGTATTCTGAAATCATCATCTCTGTGTGCTGCAGCAGCCAAAAAACCCCAACAAAACGTTGCATATCCTAAGAGCACTGACAACAAGACAGGGGGTATAATTTTGCTGCAACATACAATCCTCATTCTTCCACACCTTTTGCAGTGTGTGTAGTGCTGGTCACCACATCTCAGGAAGGGTGTACTGCACATAGAGCAGGTCTAGAGAGTGCAGAAAGGGCTGGGAGCTTCTGGAAGCTGCTGCCCCAGGGAGGGTTGCGGAGGCTGATGCTGTCACCTAGTTCAAAGAGAAATTAAGCAAAAGCATGAATTATGCATCTAAAAGTAGATGCTAAAGGGAACATGCTTAACACAAGAAGTCTAGATGCTGGGAGGTTGGAGGCCATCAGAAGTGGCCTGGTTTGCAAGTTGACCTTGTCTCCTGTGCCACTTATGGTATGGATTGGATTGAACACTTCTCAGATCCGGTAGGAAATATTGTATAACTTATCTTTAGCTCTTACTTCAGAGTTAAAGTAAAAGTTAAAGGTAAGTTATACAGTGATCTCTTGGCCAAATACTTAGTCAAGATGGGTATCCCCCAAACCCAGACTTCCTTCTGTGTCTCTGCTTCACAGAACCCTTAAAAATGGGTCTGTGGGAGATGTCAGCAGGGCTTGCAGTCCAAGACCGTCCAAGCAGTGATGCCTGCAAAGCTCTTGCACCCTCCCACCACTGAGAGCATGAACACACAAACCCTCCCTTTTCACTTGCACACAACAAATGCAGTGAGGGTTACATTTCAAAATGCAGCTGCTGGGATAGCAATGCTGAAAACGGAACATGGTTTGGGGGTTTTTTTCCCCTTTGTGTACTGCCTTACTGTCCTGGTTTCAGCTGGGATAGTTAATTTTCTTTCTAGTAGCTGGTATAGTGTTATGTTTGGGTTCAGGATGAGAAGAACATTGGGAACACACCGAGGTTTTCAGTTGTTGCCAAGGAGCGTTTACATTAAGTCAAGGATTTTTCAGCTTCTCATGTCCAGCCAGCAAGAAGACCGGAGGGGCACAAGTTGGGAGGGGACACAGCCAGGACATCTGTCCCAAACTGGCCAAAGGAGTATTCCATACCATGTGATGTCATGCCCAGTATATAAACTGGGGGGGGTTGGCCTGGCGGGGGATTGCTGCTCAGGAACTAACTGGGCATCGGTCAGCGGGTGGTGAGCAATTGCATTGTGCATCACTTGTTTTGTATATTCCAATCCTTTTATTATTATAATTGTCATTTTATTATTGTTATTATTATTATTTTCTTCCTTTCTGTTCTATTAAACTGTTCTTATCTCAGCCCATGAGTTTTACCTTTTTTTTTTCCTGATTCTCTGCCCCTTCCCACTGGGTCGGGGGGGGAAGTGTGTGAGTGGCTGAGTGGTACTTAGTTGCTGGCTGGGGTTAAACCATGACACTTACTAGCCAAAAATGATTTGTTTACCCTGGACATCAGTGATTTCCACTTTTCCATCATGCATTTCACACCTTGCAAGACTTCACAACCCAGCTCATTACTGTGGTGGTGCATTTCTTTCCCCCTCTCCAGGCTGATTTACAAACTTGGGAAGGTTTGCTGGGCCTTAGCATAAGTGCAATGAGTCGGGCAGTTAAGCGACCCTTGACTGTGCCAGGAACTCTTACACAGCGAAGACAGGGAGATATGCTGTGCATCTCAAGGACTCCTCCTGCCCGGCGGAGGCAGGGGACAGGAGTAGAGATAGATGGTTCTCATAACAACCCGCAGCCGGTTCTTTCTCATAACAACCTTGAGACATTACAATCCTCCCCTGACAATCTGGGAGCATCCTTTATCTATGTTTTGAGTTATTCTCCAATAGTCTTGGAATTTTCCAACGCAGCTGGGATTCTAGAAATTTGTTAACGATGAAAGTCAATCATCTCTTGAACCCATGAACAGTGGTACTGAGACCTTTTGAGCTCTCCTGGACCATAGCAGGCTGCAACCAGCATCTCCCTCTCAGCAGGACACCTCTCAGAGCTCATAAACTTTCCTGTTGGAGAAAATCAGAGGTCTGTCACCAAAAGCTGACATGACCTGGGCTGATTCTCTTCGCTCCTTGAGGCTTGACCCTTCACCCATTGCGAAAGATGCCAAAGTATTCGATGTGAATATTTTCACTGACCTCGAGGGGAATTTTTAAGAGGGATACCTCTTTTTTCTCTCTCTCTTATTCTCTTTTACTCTCTTACATATATCTCTTAGTGTCTTTATGCATGTGTGTACTAACCTGAATAGTCTATAGCAAGTATGTTATAGCAAGTATATTAAGTATGTTATATGCTATTATATGTATATGCTATTATGTATATACATATACATAGCATTATAATAGCATATATAGATAGGATTATAATAGCATATACGTATATGCTATTATAATCCCTTTAGATATAAACAGTTGCCTAAGTCTGGGACTAGGAGTCGATCCAGCTGCACTTAGACTCCGACAGGAGTTAAGAAAGCAAGGGGTTCTTCTCTGAATCTAGTGACTCAACAGAAGAGTCTCCCTTACCCTTTCCCACATTCTCCATCTTTGCACAAATCACAAGAAATTAATTCTTTGTAACATTCCCTTTTAGCCTATTACGTTTTTGGTCCCTATATACATAAGTTTAGTCTGATTCTAACTTACTTGTCCTTAGTCCATTTTATCCATGTACTAATAGAGTGAACCTTGCCATCGAATTCTGTGAAGTCGCACTTTCATATAGATTTCTATTAAATCATTTTTTTATTACTAATACAATTGGAGGTCATTCTTTAAATGATCCAAACCCCTCTCTCTCTCATTTTTAAATCCTCCCATGACAAGCCTACAGGGAATGCAATCTCACTCTGTTTTTCTGGCTTCACAGTTACTACATCGTGCTTACGTGGCTTCACAAGGAGATATTGGACCATCCAGGCTCATTTTTTCCAGGTTGAAGGGTACTAGTAGCTGTGCCACAGCAGGGAAGATGCCAGTGCTGTCTACTCAGGCAACCCTTCCCCAGGCCACGTTTGTCGCATGGAGCATCCTTTCAGGACTGCTTTTTTGCTGAGACTCTTTATATTTGGTTTAGCTCACCTTGCACAGCCGTGGGAACCTGTGGTCCCAGGGAGCCAGCAGCCCAGCATGGACTGAATGGGATGTAGCCGTTACCCATCTCATGGTCATAAAGAGGGGTGGTGTGCCCCATGGGGTTGGCTCAGAAATGTTGATGCCTGCTGTCCATTGTGCCTGGTGTCATGGGGGCTGCAGGCTGGGTTTGAGTGGAGACAGCCCAGGGAGGGGGGTTGAGGAGAAGACTCATCTCTGGAGGATGAATGACCTTCCTCCCTGGCCAGGAGCAGAGAAGGGAAAGGGGCTGCAGGGTCCTTGGCTGTGGCGTGGGGAGGTGCTGAGCTCCCCTCTTTGCTCCCTCTGCCAGGCATGACCATGCCCAGCTCCATCATCTCTGATGATGGCACAGCCAGGAGCCCAACCACTCCAGTGTCCTGGTCCCAGGGCTCGGCGATGCTCTGCTTTCCTTGCACCAGCCCCAGGGACTGGGCAGGCTCCATGCTTCCAACCCCAGGCTTGGGAATGCAAAAACCCACAGGTCATCCCAGGCATCACATCACAGCCCATCCCGCTGCTTGCAGGTAACAAGACCATTCACTGAAAACCCAAATTATAGTACAAGCATGGGGATGTTTAGCACAAACCTGGGGGTTTGTGGTAAACCACTGCCCACCTCAGAGATCAGTCTGTGTATTCCCCGAATTCCCTTAAACTAAGGATGAGAATCAACACAATGGGCGGTGCCCAAAACCTGAGTATGTGTGCAGCTTAATGTCAGCAGCTACAGCACGGTTTCTGGACCACCATCCCCTTACTCTTTATATTATGTGATACTCCCAGAATACAGACTGTGCATTTTATACACGCGACGACTTCAGCGATGAGACTTTGGGACAGACTCCAGCCAGAGGATACTATTCAATGTACACAACCCCTCGAAACTCTTTATTTCGGGAGGGGAAAGGAGGCTTCTTGCCCTCTGCAAGCACCCTGGGGGTATCTCTGTATAGCGGGGGTTCACCTTTGGATACTTGCAAGATAAGACTCAGCTTTTCCTGAGGATGCAAACCTCCGTAAGTGAGCATTGCAAACCCTCCTTCTGCTGGATCTGCAGCCTGGAGCTGGCTGGGGACTGGGGAGGTGGGGATGAAACGGGGCAGACGCAGCTGGGAATGGGGGGAGCCTCCTAGCAGACATGGCTTGGGTGCTGGGGGGGGACACTTAAATCACTTAAAACCAGAGGGCAAAATCCCAGAGACAGCAGGGAGGAGGGGTCAGTGCAGGAGGAGGGATGAGTGCCGGGCAAACACGGGGCACATTGCTGCGGAGGAGGGGACAAACCTGCTGTCAGCACCCACGGCACCCAGCTCAGCTTGCAGCTTGTACTGGGATGGTCATCTGTCCTAAGGCGTATGCGATGGGCATGGGGTTTTCGGGACGTTGCCTCCTGTCCCTGCACAGCAACTGGGCTGGCTTCGCCACAGCAGGGCTCCTCATCTACCTGGTGTGCCTCTGTGGTGAGTGGCTCTTGCATGGGGGAAGGAGCATCCTAGGAGAAAGAGGGGGTCAGTGATCTGCAGGAATGGGGGGGACTGGGCTTGCAGATGGATGGGGCAAAGCTTCCTTTGACTCATCAGCCTTTAAAAAGGAAGAGAAAGCAGCGGATGGGGAAGGAAACCTCGTTAGCCACGTAATTATCCTGGCCTCTGCGCTGCTGCCCTTGCACAGAGTGGTTGGGAAATGCTTGGAGACTTACCAATCGGTGACAGTCAAAACCAGAAATTGCTTATTTGTGTTGGCCGCATCTTCAGGGCCGGCTGGTTTGTTTACAAAGGGCACAAAGTCCTCTTCCCCCCAGTGCAAACAGGAGCATTTATTCTGCTCTGTGCCCTACAGACATGAAGGCTTTCCAGGAGGGGACCAATTGTGCTGCAAGTGGGATGCCAAGGTGCTTTTATTTTTTTCTGCCTCTGCCTGCCTCATTTTGCATCCCCTTCTCCAGGGGATGCTGCAGCCTCTACCCAAACCCCAACATGGGCATCCCACCGCAGCTCAGCCCCTCCAGTGCTTACTGCCTCAGCCATTAAACACCTCATATTTTCCTTCCTTGCTGTAGTTTCAGCCGGTGTAATGCCCCCCTCTAAGACACAGCTCCACTTGGCTAGGGGCCATGGGCTCATTTGCTGCGCAGGCTCCCTATCACTTCATGCAAATCGCTAATTAAAGCACCAGATTGCACACAGACAGTCCCCCCTTTCCATCAGATGCCTGGCAGCTACTCCCTACATAGAGTTTCCTGGAGTTTTCAGTCCAGCTGGCAGTGATTTTCTTTTCATTGATTGGGAATACTAAGCAAAAAAAGTATCTGAAGCCCCTTTAAAGATAATTGTCTTTCAAAAAGGGGGTTTGCAGAGCATTTTCTCTCCTGGACTTGGGTTGTTTGGTTTGTCTTTGAGCCAAAGGAGAATCACATCCGTGGTTGACATAAGCCGCAGCCATTTGCAGAGGCTCTGTCAAGCTCATGCAAGCAACACAGCCTTTCCCAGTGCTGCTCTTCCGCAGCAGACCCTCTCTATATCCCTCTTGCAGACCTGGCTGCTTCCCAGCGGGCTCCCATCCGCCTGTCAGATGGCCCGCACCGCTGTGCCGGCAGGGTCGAGGTCTTCTATGAGAACCAGTGGGGAACGGTGTGCGATGACCATTGGGACCTGAAGGATGCTGGTGTGGTGTGCCGGCAGCTGGGCTGCGGTGTGGCGCTGTCAGCCACCAGGGCCGGGCATTTCAGGGCAGGGTCCGGTCGCATCTGGCTGGATGATGTGAATTGCACGGGGACGGAGGTCGCCCTGTCTTACTGCAGGACGAAGGGCTGGGGAAAGAACAACTGCCACCACGGCGAAGATGCTGGCGTGGTGTGCTCAGGTAATGCCCCATGGAAATCATGGTACAGGGGGACATGACAAAACACAAATTCCCTTGCAAGGAGTGTTGCCCCCCAGTTTTCCAAAAGCTCCCTGCGGCACAGAGCACCCATGGCCCCAGCAAGGGATGGTTTTGTGGTTTGTCCCATACATGGGACTGCAGGCTAGGGAACAATTTAGGAATCAGGCTTGGAAACATTGTCTGTGCTAACTCCACCTTCCTGAGATGCTGAATCACCTCTGGGAGATGCGTAGGGACCCCTTGCACATCACGCACCTCCGTGGTGAGCAGGACCCACACAGGACTTGCTTTGGCTGCATGTTTTGGGAGCACAGGGAGGGCTAGACACCTATTGTGTTTTGCAGGCAGACACTGTGAGACACAGCCTTAGGCAGGGGAGAAAACAGCCGGGAGGAGACACCCACATTCCTCCTCCCCATCACCAACATGAGAGACAGGATGGTTTCCATGCCCTTGCCTCTGGCAAGCTACAATCACCTAAAGAACACTCTTTTATGACCACACACTGTGAAGCTCCAAAAGCTTGGAGCTCCAAAAGCTTGGAGCTTTGGTGGCTGATTGAGGTGCAGGCGCTCATGGCAATTGGTAGGTGCTGGAGCCACTGGTGCCAGAATTGTCCCAACAGATGTTGGCACATGGGTGTGCTGAGCCCCCTCGGTTGTCACCTCCTCCTGCAAAGAGGATGTGGCGCCCCATGAACACCAGGAAAAAAAGCTTTCTGCCTTCTCCTGTCCCACCCATCCTCAGGATCTCCAGTCACAGCTGGAAAGACCACGGTTTGCTGGGACCATGTGGCATCACCCCTGTCCCAGTCCCAAGGTGGCTGCACTTTGGTAACCGCTGGGTGCAGTCAGCAACCGTAGTGGAGTGCAGAACGGTCCTCCAGAAATGAGGGGCAAGGGGGTTTTCATGGTGCAACTCTTGTGCCCTCCACAGACTCATCCAGATACCCTAGGTCCATCCACATTGGTCCTACAGAGCTCCGCCTGGTAAACGGCCCGAACCCCTGCTCTGGAAGAGTAGAGGTGATGCATGACAACCAGTGGGGAACCGTGTGTGATGACGACTGGAGCTTTCCCAATGCCAGAGTGGTGTGCCGGCAGCTGGGCTGCGGGATGGCGGTGTCAGCCTATGGCACAGCTCACTTTGGCCAGGGCTCGGGCCGCATTTGGCTGGACAACGTTCAGTGCAGAGGGACTGAAGCTGCCCTGTCCGAATGCCTGGCCAGTCCTTGGGGTGCCAACAACTGTGACCATACAGAAGATGCCAGCGTTGTATGCACAGGTAACATCATGCTTGTAGACCAGGAGGAGAAGTTCAGCGGAGGATGCTCTGCTCCGGGGATTCATACCAGTTTCACAGCTGCAGCCAAGGGCTGGGCAGCAGACACCTGGGTGGGTGACCTTGTCCCATCTCCGGCAACATGTCATGCTGGCACTTGTTAGCACACAGGTCCATGAAAGTAAGGAGCAGCAGGTATAATAGGAAGGGAATGATGACCTTTGGGCAGCACACAAAAAGTGGGCTTGCATGGGCACCAAGGAGAGAGGGGAAGCACTGAGCTGGGTGCTAGATGCTCCTAGCAAGGTCCCAACCCACCACACTATGGGGACCAGTAGCCCACAGGCTGTGCAAAGATGAGGTGGGGGGGGCTCTGAAGTCCTTTTGAAGAAGGGGCAGTGGCAATGGGGGTCCACAGAAAGTCTCTCCCTTCAGTGGGCTGCTGCAGCCATGTGAAGGGTTCATGGACAGCCACCAGGGAGGACTAAAAAAACAATTGCAGCCGTTTATGGTTTGCCTGTGCTTATGTTGAATGTGCACAGGCTCTGGGGTTGCACGGCTGGTTTTGCCTGCACCTGAAATGTTTAGCCCCAAACTTTAGATATTCCTCAGCTGTTCTTTGTGGACATGGGAGCTTCCCCCATGGTGGCAAGAAGAAGCACCTTGGGGGAGACCTCGTCTGACGCTCCTGTTGTGTCTCATGTCACAGGCACAGCCACAGCCACAGCCACCAGCACACCAGCTCATCTGCGCCTGGAGAATGGCCCCAACCGCTGTGCAGGACGCGTGGAGGTGCTCCACAACCATCAGTGGGGGACGGTGTGCGACAACGGCTGGAGCATGGCCGAGGCGGTGGTGGTCTGCCGGCAGCTGGGCTGCGGGACGGCCACTTCAGCCCCAGGCTCGGCTCACTTCGGGCAAGGGTCTGGCCGCATCTGGCTGGATAACGTGAACTGCACGGGGAGAGAAGCTGCCCTCTCTGAATGCCAGACCAGGCCATGGGGATCCAACAGCTGTGACCACCAGAAAGATGCTGGTGTGGTGTGCTCAGGTGATCCACATTGGTTGGGATAAGTACTGTGCAGGTTGGGATGCAAGATCAGCTCAATCACATCCCAGGTAGCCAGGGATAGATGCCTTTACTGCACCCTCGTTTAAAAAAAAAAAATTAAATTGAGAGAAGGGTATGAATGCCACAGTGAGTGATGCTCTTCCCTGTGTCAGTGCAGGCTGTGAGATCTCAGCATGCTGTTAGGATGATTTTGTGTAGGAAGAGCAAACCCTTCTCCTACCTTTCCCCTTTCCAATAGCTCTAGCTGCACAAATTCATTGGGCAATGCCTCCTACCACCTCCCATACTCACTATTGGCCCCAGGAACTCCCCCCATAGTCATTGTTGACCCCAGGAACCCCCCCTAGTTATTGTTGACCCCAGGACCCTCCCATAGTCACTATTGACCCCAGAACCCTTTGTCAGACTCCAAGTCCCAAGCTCTGGAGCTGTGACTCCTCCTTATTCACCCCAATGAGAAGCAAATCCCAAGCCAGCTCTGTTGCTGTAGAACCTTTCCCAGGCAGCTGGAGGCTGCACACATGGAAGGATGCTCTGATTTTCCTGCAGCTTAGCATGCTGCAAAGCCCAGCTGGAGCTGTGGATGACGGTCAGGCATGAACATGCCTCTTGCTCCCTTCACAGACACAGACACTTCAGAGCAGCGCCCACTGCGGCTGGTGAACGGCTCGAACAGCTGCCTGGGGAGAGTCGAGGTCTTTCACGACCAGAAGTGGGGGACCGTGTGTGACGACACCTGGGACCTCCAAGATGCTGCCGTCGTGTGCAGGCAGCTGGGCTGCGGGATGGTGCTGTCAGCACCGGGCTCAGCTCATTTCGGGCCAGGGGCAGATCCCATCTGGCTGGATAACATTCACTGCACTGGGACCGAGTCCACGCTCACTGAGTGTGAGCTGAACAACTGGGGAGAGCACAACTGTGCCCACAGCGAGGATGCTGGTGTGGTGTGCTCAGGTAACACCAGCCTGCAGGGACCGGGATGGGTGAGCCAGGATGGTTGGTGTCCACCCAAGGTGGGGCTTGACGGGTGCTTGAGCTGCTGTTCTACTCCAGGGCTGTGCCAAGCTCTCTGTTGTCTTTTCACTATTCCCCATCCCCAGCATCAGAACAAAAGTCAGCTTTCACCCAGCCACTTGGCCTGGAGTTGAGCAAAAAATGCCACTCTGCCTTAGACAGGAGTTGTGCACCAAACTCATACTGATTTAATCTAGACTATGTCCCTCTAGCTCATCAATGACAGCATCCTGGGATGGGCAGAGCCTTGCTTAAAAAAAAAAAAATAATCCAGGCACACCTTTCCTAGACACAGAAGTCCAGGCCACTGGAGAGGTGGGTGCGGGTCTCCCATGAGCTCCACCTCACAGATACCAGCCCTGCAGTGACGTTGCTTATTAAGGCATCTCGTACAAGGCGATGGAGTAAGGCAATCCATGCCTCATAGCTAGTCGCAGGTGCTGGCGGCTTGCCTTCAGCAGGGCACAGGAAAAAAATTCCCGGGAGCAGATCAGAAGCTCTCATCGCCATATGGAGTCAGAGAGGTGACTTCACCCCTTGTGCTCTTCCTTGCAGGCACAAACCCCTTGCAGGTGCGGGTGAAAAATGGTCCTGGTCCCTGCGCGGGACAGGTGGAAGTGCTCTATGAAGCTACCTGGCACGGGGTGTGCAGCACTGGCTGGAGCCTGCTGGAAGCCGGGGTGGTCTGCAGGCAGCTGGGCTGCGGGCCAGCCTTGTCGGCGCCAATCGGAGCCCGGCAAAGCCGGGGGGACGGCCATGCCTTGCTGGAAGGGCTGAGCTGCCGGGGGACTGAGTCGCTGCTCCTGGAGTGCCAGCAGAGAGAGATGGGTCTGGGGCCGTGCAAGCAGGGCTCGGCAGCCGCTGTGGTGTGTACAGAGCAGAAAGGTGAGTGCTGAAACCCCCATCACCCACTTCGTCTGCATCAGGGCCAACCTGGTGCAGACACATGGTGGGGTAGAGGCTCCTATCTCCATCCCTGTCTCAGCCTGGCAGGCAGGCAGAAGCATTGCCATAAACCTTTTTGCCGGGAGACATTAGGTAGGCAGGGTAGAGGCACCTGAAGGCAGCGGAGTGGGACCAACTGGGTGAAGGCATCTCAGTGGGCATGGAGATCCTAGCATCCCTGGTGGACACACTCTGTTTGCATTAGCCCAGTGAGGGTGCACTCACCCTCCTGAAGCAGAGGGTAAGCTGTCACTCCTGCTGATGAGGGTCAGCCCCAGCACCCAGAAGGGCAGTGATTGCAAGTCCCCAGAAACGTGCAGCAGAAGGGAAGGGTGAGAGGGGCAGAGAGGGTCAGGCCATCCAACCAACCCCCTCTGAGCTTCACTCTTCCTGCAGATGTCATACAGTCCTGCTCGGTGCTGGCAGGCCTCCTCGGCATGGGGGCAATGCTCTGCGGGACCCTGTTGGTCCTGTACCTCTGGACAAGGTATGGAAGATGGGCTGGACGCTCCCCAGGTAAGAGCAGGACTGCAGCACATGGTGTATGTGGAGCTGGCTGCACTGCTGGCTGGTGTGGGTGCACACCAACCTGGGGCTGGGGAATGTACCCTCCATGCATCACCCTGCTCCTTCATTTTGCAGCCAAACCACCTCTTATAAAGAAGACAGAGGACACCGGGATGTCATCTGAGGCTTAGGCTTGTTGAAGGCAAGGCTTCCTCAGGACCCCACAAGACCCCATTCTGTGGAACCAGGAGAGCAGAGCAGTTGCTGTGATGGTCAACAGAGAGAATCCCCTCTGGCAGAGCGGAGACTCCTGTCCTGTGTGCCCCATAGCCCCCAGCTCACTGCACTGAGCCTCTGTGGGTCCCAGTTCATCCATGCAGCACCACAAAGTCCCTCAGTCTCCAAGCAAGGTCTTCTCAGAATAACCCCTATCTGGTCCTCCGGGTAGGCTCCAGCATCCTAACCCCATCTACACAGACTCCTCTTATTCCTGGCCCTATAACCGCTATAATCCCTATTCCCAGCCCTATAGCCCCTATAATCCCTATAACCTCCTGCAGAGTCATCTGCAGTGGCACCCAGTGCCATCACCCCCACCGCATTCCCAACAGGACCATACCTTTTCCCCTAATCTCCCATGGAAGTGAGGATTACTTCCTGATCCAGGAGCAAGCGAGCAGGGGGCTCTCCTGCACTGTACAGAACCACCTTTGCAAAACGAGGATTGCACTTAAAAGCCCATCCACAATGGGATAAGAAGTGCCTCAACGATTGTATTTATTCAATTCACTTTTGAATACCAGTAAAAACTCTGAAACTCAAAACAACAAGAATGCAGCATTATACAGATTAAGGGCTATGGAATGAGTTGGCGAGGTGGAAGTGGTGGAAGAACAGGCCCCTTGGCTATAGAGGGATTGTAGATGATCAGGTCAGATACAGGAGACTCAAGATTACTAATGTTGGGTGAGATATTGTCCTGGCCACCAACAAGGAAGGGTCACATTCCTAATGGAGCAACCCATGGAGTCAGGTCTAAACTCAAACCATGCACCACATTGGTGAAGCCAGGAGGGGCCATAGTCAGAGAAATGTCCCAGTGTCATGGGGAGGGAATGAAGGGACCACAAGCTTGACTAGGGTGTGATGAAGATTTGCCTTGCAAGCTGAGCTGAACTCTGCACAAGGGCATGGAAGGGAAGAGTTGGTGCAAGAGGCAGTAGGGAGAAGACACATGTAATGAAAGAGTCACAGTATGTACTTCAACGCCCTTCAGGTCTAGCCTCCCACCTCTCCTTCCCTCCCAGCCAGCGGCTTGCAGCTCTGACCAGTTTGTGTCTTGCTACTTGCCCTAAGCCCCAGCCATAGAGCCCCCCTGCGGCTGGGTGCCTCCTATCAACACGTGGCCGCAAGGTCATCTGATCCTCCATGGACATCCATCACTCCTCAGACTTCAGGGGTTTTTATCCTCCTGCTGGCACCCAAGCCTTCTCATCTTCCTGCTGGCTGCCCCAGCAGACTTGGTCCTCCAGCCTTACCTGTCCCAAAGTTTACATCAAAAGCCCAGGGCTCCTTCTAGCTCTGGACAGTGTCCTCAGAATAGGGGAAAACAAGACCTTGGACCCGGTTTTGTGCAATAAAATATATGCACCATTTGGAGAAGGTCTTTGTAATAAAGCTGGGATGAGTTGATGCTCTTTAGGGCTCCAACATGCAGGACCAGCACCTGCTAGATCCCAGCTCGAGCCATGGGTTACTCTGCAGAGATGCTCTGCAGTGACTACAGCATCTCAAGAAGGGGTTTCAGACTTCCCGGGGGGCAACAACACACAAATTCAAAAGGAGAAGAAGAGACGCAGGACCATGACTCAATTCCAGGGTGGCTGTTTGTCCAAACTCTGAAAACAGCCCCAGCAGAAATGCCCTTGCCCAGAGCTGCGTCAGCCACGTCAGGCTATGACAGTTCACAGCATTTCCATGCTGGTCAGTGTCGGGAATCTCTTTGCTGCTGGCCTGTTTGTTTGCAAAGAAGGGGAGCAAAGTCCTTGGGCTCACTGATCCTCGGTACAAATGCATACAGTCACCTTTCCCAATTGCTTGACTTTTTATGAGATGAGTTTTGACTTGCTTCCAGCCTAATTTTCACCTGCTTATTCTTTTACTTTTGTTTAGTACACCTCTTTTTTTCCTTTTGGTCTTCAGCCCTAGCTCTGCATGCCTCTGGGGTTTGGGTTTCTCCTGTTTGATCTTCCTACAGGCAGCAATCTACTCTCCACTCTACTACCCATCTCAGGTTTTGCCAGGCTGAACAGGTTAAACTCAGCCTGAGACCATCCTGGCCATGCTGTCCTCTTCCCATTATATGCTCCAGTTTTGCTTCTTATTTTTGCACAGACACAGGCAGAACCATCCACCCTGTTTCTGGCAGGGGTCACATCCTTGCCCAATGTAAACCCCATCTTCAATGCACCACCAGCACAGCACCCACCTCCATCTGAACTCTCCCCTTCGGAGCAACCAGTGATGTTAATTTGATGACCCTTTTGCAAAACTCATTTTTTCCAGCGGCACACTGCTCTGGCTTCGGGCTTTCCTTGCACAGCTTCAGTGTGCCACCACAAAGGGATGGGAGGACAGGAAACTCTTCCATCCTCTCAGCATCTCAGGAGATGCCTGAGGTGGCAATTCTCAAGGGACATGCCTGGAGCATCGTCTGCATAAAAACCACCAGGAAGCAAACTGCTAATCCAAAAGGGACCCTTGGGGTCTTGCAAGTGCAGCCACAATAGGATAAGAAAATGGCAGTTCCCCTTATTTTCCAAATCCAACCTAGCCATTCAAAGCTTCACAAGGTGGGTGCAAGACCTTTTCTCATCACGGACAGTGTCCAGGCTCACCTGATGGCAGACAGCTACAGTGCAGGCGCTGGCTCCAGCCTCCACAATAAAGCCATTTCCAGCCTTTAGTAAACTGTTTTCCTCCAGTGGATGGTACCTCACCCCAAAAAACTGAACCAGACACTTTGTAATGAAGCTAATGTAGCTATATTTTCCTAGTTCCGTGCATAAAGGCTTGATTTATCTTGTCAAAAGTAGGTGTCTAGTACCAGGACACGTCAGGGCAGTCGAGGTGCCCACAGGGGCTGGCACATATGAAACAGGCCTGAGTGTCGAGAGGGTTTTGTTTGCTCCGTGTTTTCCTGGAACAGCTCACCATTTCGCAAGCTGATGACAAGACTGGCCGCTGCATGGGGCAGCAGGTCACCTCCTGGCAGAGCTTCACAGGTGGTGAAACTCCCAGGGGGGAAGCACGGCAGAGGAAGAAGAGGGCTCGCTGCAGCAATCCTAGTTTGCCCTCCCAGTTGGCCAGTGGGACACCGGGCTCAGCTGGCACCTCAAGGACAGTCCACGCCAACCTCCAGCCCGTGGCCAGGCTGCAAACTTCAGGATATTGAGCAGTCTCCATCCCTCGTCCAGCCGCCCTGGGGGCAGAAACCAACCCACCCGTGGTGGGGCCAAGAGCATGGGGACCCTCGTCCTGATGGCATTCCTTTGGGGTGAGTGGCATTCACCTTTGCTGCTGACTGCAAGGAGCTTTTGGCCATGTCGGCTCCTCCAGCCCGCTCTCAGCTAGCACTTCATGGAGCACAGCAGAGGCTGGTCGGGGGTCCTGGGTTTCACTCGGGGTTCTGGGCCGGGGGGATGTGATGGCTTGTGATGGCTTTGGAGGTGGGTGAAAGGTTTTTTTACGTGAAGTCAGGAGCTCAGCTATCTCCGCTGCACTCCAAGAGCCATGCATTGCAGGTCTACTTCTGCACACATGCTTTTGCCCCATAATCAAAGGCTTATGCCTCATAATTAAAGGCTTGTGAGCATTACAAGAGTGGAGGGAAGCATGCCCGATCCTGAAGCTGTCTCACAGGTGGCCACAGCCTCCTGCCCTGCTTTAATCTTGGCTTACCCTGGACCATACATGGCAAACTCATGGTACTGCAGCACTGAGGGGGCTTGGCCAAACCCAACAGCACTGTGCATTAACAGAGGCGGCTCCCTGTACGATGGAGAAGTGAGCAAGTAGGGACCCACATTGCCAGGACAAGGCTGGGTGGCTTGTGGATGTGCAGCACAAGGAACTGAATAGGTTTTTGTGCTAATTGGTCAGACAGGCAAGATGCTGGCAAGAGACACATCCCTCCTTGTGCTCAGGCAGAGCTATAAGGAAGCTGCAGACCCTACAGGTCCCTTATCCACAGCCATGGTTTGCTCTCAGACATTGGTGGGGGAAGAACGAGGATGGGGAAGATCTCTACTGCAAGAGCAATATCACGCTGATGGTTCAATGGCAGTGTTACTTTGGAAATGGTTAAGAAAGGGCTCAGGGCTTTGCCCAAGCTGCCCCAGCTCAGAGCAGAAGCTGGTTATTTGATTCTAGCAACCTTCCTACTGCTGTTTGACATTTACAAAGGGCACAACCAGAAACATCTTCTGATCAGGTTTGGAGTGAGCAAAATTAGGAATATGCTTTCCCTGCTGGTAGAGATTTTGTTTTAATTTCCATGCTGATTAGTTGCTAAGGCCAGTTTGTACCACTACTTCTTGAAACTAAAATTTTGCTTTAACTTGCTTGGGTTTCCTCCTTCTTTGGTGACCTACTGAGGAACAGTACAATCTTCCCACTTTTTTTTTTGAAAATCCTGCTCCTGGAATATTCAGTGTGGCATTTGCCTCTTTGACAGTCAGTATCTGCTGGCTGGCTGGAGACATCTGGGCTGGGACTTGGCATGTTTCTTGCAAGCACTGCTTGGTCGCACGTGCATTGACTCTGCTTGGGTGGACAAGAAATCCACCAGCTCTGCTAAGTCTCAGCTGCAGGATTGATTTATTGCTTATCACAGGGTAGCCTCATTGCTCCTAGTAAAAATAAGGAAGGAGAGCAAAAGGCACACAGGGAAAGGATGAAACAGAACAGCCAGCCTTCATCAGAACTCTGCTCTTAGCCTGGGGACAGGAGAGCTTGCAAACTGGAGACCGAGTGCCTGCAATGCATGTGGTTCAGCCTCCTTGCAGAAGTGAATTTTGAGGGGCAGCTTTGCAAAGGGGCTTTATTGCAAATAAGCTTTATTGCAAGGACGCTCTATTGCAAAGACGCTTTCCTGCTCCCTGTTATGCAGCCTGAATGAAAGAGCTGAGCTAGGCACTCCTGCATGCAGCATGCCACAGCTGCCCAGATGCTGTTCGTATTTGAATGACTCAGGGATTTGATTTTGAACCTGTTTTGTCTTCTTTCTGGCTTTTGTGACTTCCCAAGTGCTATGTCTAGCCCCTCGCTTGCTGGTGGTCAGACTCATGCACAGATCAGTGCCTGAGCACTTCAGAAATCATTATCCACAGTCAAAAAGCTTATTTACACAACGCAATCGTATCCCTCCTGAACTTTTTTTTTCTGCTGACCCAGTTGAGCTCTCCACATGACTAACATCCAGTTACGGCTCCTTTCTGCACCAGCTCCCTTCAGTTAGTGCTTTTGCAAAAGCATGCCTATGGGACCAGTGGCAATCTCACACCACGGGTCTTGCACATTGCCAAGGCCTTTAGCTCAAGCACTTTTCCACTCATCCTCACAAGCTTGCCATGCAGCTGGACCCCAAGGAATTACCCACTCTTGACAGTGAAGCTACATCTTTGCTGCCGACCACGTGTACAAAAACACACATAAGCTGAAATACCCTTTTTTTTTTTTTCCTGCCTGTTACATGAGCAAGAAAAGGGCTCCTGGGATGTGGGATCCACACTGAGGCTAAGATGGTTAAATTCAGAGTTTAGATGCAGAGATGGGGCTCAGTTGACTACAGATGCCCAGGGCCATCTGAGATGCCCAGGGCAGGTGTAGGATGGTCAACACAACCTCTGAAACCCTTTTTGGGGGACAGGAGCCATCTCAAACGTGTGAGCAGCCGAGCCCCATCCACTCCCAGGATTTCACCTCCCTTCTTCTTTCCCCTCCTGGCTTTGCAGGCGCAGCCGCTGAGAGCCCAGGGGGGTTCCTTCGCCTGGTGGGTGGCCCTGGCCGCTGTGCCGGGCGGGTGGAGGTGCTCTACAACGGAACGTGGGGCACAGTGTGCGACGATGGCTGGGGTTCCCCCGAGGGCCGAGTCGTGTGCCAGCAGTTGGGCTGCGGGACATTGCTGTCGGTGGCACCAGGAGCTCGGTACGGAGAAGGGACAGGACAGATCTGGTTGGATGAGGTCAACTGCACTGGGGAGGAAAGGAATCTCTCTGAATGCCAAGCCAAGCCATGGGGGAAACACAACTGTAACCATGTGGAGGACGCCAGCGTTGAGTGCTCAGGTAGCCCGGGACAGCAGCCATCTGGCTGTGCACCCCTGCATCCCTTCCTGCTGTACCGGCGGTGATGCACAACCGTTCTCCGACTGTCCCTCTTGGGATACCCGCAGAATCCAGCATCACCGCCCTGGGCACCCTCCAGCTGCTCAACGGCCCCAATCGCTGCGCCGGGAGGGTGGAGGTGCTCCACCACCAGATGTGGGGGACAGTCTGTGACGACGGCTGGGACCTGGTGGACGCAACAGTGGTCTGCCGGCAGCTGGGCTGTGGCACAGCACTGTCGGCCACCAGAGGGGCTCATTTTGGAAGGGGCCACGATCCCATCTGGTTGGATGAGGTGAACTGCACTGGCACCGAGGACACCCTCTTTGACTGCCGGGCCAACGCGTGGGGAGACAACAACTGCTTCCATGGGGAGGATGCTGGAGTGATATGTTCAGGTGACACACCTTGAGGTGCAAAAGGGGTCAATATCAGATTTTTAGGGTTTCCTAAGCGATCATTGGATGGCTCCTGCATCCCCCCCAAGGGTGCTCGCCTGTGGCATGCCCTCTGCAGCTCTGGGGAGGACCTGCAGCACATAGCAAGTCACCCTGCAAAGCCTTTGCCTGCCTCCTGCTGCCATGGATCCAGTGCTAAGCTGCAGGAACAGCAAAGGGCCGTTCGTTTGCAGTTGCGTGCATGAATTACCAAAGACCTACCCCAAAGCCTGATTTGCTTGGGAGCAAGTAGGCTGTACCATGCAATTCTTTCTGCAGGCGTAACTCACTCTCCCCAGTTCCTGCCCATCTACCCAATCTGTCTTGCCCATTGCCCATGATGCAGGGCTTTTGATGGAGTTTTTGATGCATGTGTAGCTCAGCTCTTTTATTTGGGCTGTGCAACAGGGAGCAGGAAAGTGCCTTTGCAATAAGGTGACTTCACAATAAAGTGTCTTTGCTATAAGGTCCTGCACCTGGGTCGGGGCAACCCCCAGTATCAGCACAGGCTGGGGGAGGAAGGGATTGAGAGCAGCCCTGCAGAGAAGGACTTGGGGGTACTGGTCGATGAAAAGCTGGACATGAGCCAGCAATGTGTGTTTGCAGCCCAGAAAGCCAACCATGTCCTGGGCTGCATCAAAAGAAGCATGGCCAGCAGGTCAAGGAAGGTGATTCTGCCCTCTACTCCGCTCTGGTGAGACCCCACCTGGAGCAGAGCATCCAGCTCTGGGGTCCTCAGTACAGGAAAGACATGGACCTGTTGGAACAGGTCCAGAGGAGAGCCACAAAAATTACCAGAGGGCTGGAACACCTCTCCTGTGAGGAAAGGCTAAAAGCATTGGGGTTGTTCAGCCTGGAGAAGAGAAGGCTCCGGAGAGACCTTCTTGTGGCCTTTCAACACTTCAAGGGGGCTTATAAGAAAGATGGAGACAGACTTTTTCGTAGGGTCTGTAGTGACAGGACAAGGGGTAATGGTTTTAAACTAAAAGAGGGTAGATTCAGATTAGATAGAAGGAAGAAATGTTTTACGATGAGGGTGGTGAAACACTGGAACAGGGTGCCCAGAGAGGTGGTAGATGCCCCATCCTTGGAAACATTCCAGGCCAGGTTGGATGGGGCTCTGAGCAACCCAGTCTTGTTGAAGATGTCCCTGCTCACTGCAGGGGGGTTGGACTAGATGACCTTGAAAGGTCCCTTCCAACCCAAACTATTCTATGACTCTATGATAAGGTGACTTTGCAATAAGTGTCTTTGCAATAAAGCCCCTTTGCAAAGCCACCCCTCAAAATTCACTTTTAAGAGGATGCTGAGCATTTTGGGAACTTGGTCTCCTGTTTGGGTGCTCACCGCACACGGAGGATGCTCAGGCTGGAGCAGAAGCATCTGTGACTCTCCTGGTGCATTTACCCTTGCGTGTCGTTGGCAGCTTCAGGGGTGTCCATGGCCACCGAGCTCCGCCTGGCCAACGGTTCGACGCGCTGCGAAGGCAGGGTGGAGATCACTCACGACGGCACCTGGGCAGCCCTGTGTGATGAGGGCTGGGGTCTGGCCGAAGCTCGAGTGGTGTGCAGGCAGCTGGGCTGTGGGAGAGCGCTGTTGGCACCTGGCGGGTCGCATTTTGGGCAAGGACCCAGGCAAATGTGGCCTGACAGCGTGAGCTGCATGGGTACAGAGACCGCCCTCTCTGCATGCAAGGCGAAGCCCTGGAGCAACAGCACTTGTCACCATGGGAGAGCAGCTGGCGTGGTGTGCGCAGGTAACCCCCTTGGGAGCGACACAGCACGAGAAGTGGTGGGTCTTGGGTCCCTCACCTTGATTTTCCACTTCTGCAAGCAGCCCTGGACAATGTGTCCTTTTTGTGGGCATTTCCATCGCAGAGTGTCATGGGGTATCTGGGCGGCTGGAGGAATTTTGGGCGTCCTGCTGGAGGGGTTGGTGCTGATGCCAGTGGGTGGGATGCTGCTGCGGTGCAGCTTGCAACCTCTCGCCCCTTAGCCAGCAGGCACTGGGGATCAGCCAGCTTCTTTTTGTGGTGATTAGACGAACCTGCAGCACTTGGTGCAACACTCAGCAACCTGGGAAGGTGCCAGGGCACTTTTCCTTACCCATGGGTCGCAGCGTGCTGGCCTGTTCCCATATTTCGCTCTTTTAGGTAACTCGGAGGGCGACCAGGTCCGGCTGGTGAACTATGGCAGCCGCTGCGCTGGCAGGGTCGAGATCTTCCATAACAAGCAGTGGGGGACCGTGTGTGATGACAACTGGGACCTGCTGGATGCTGAGGTTGTCTGCCGGCAGCTGGATTGTGGACGAGCACTGTCGGCCCCCAGGGGGGGTCAGTTCGGGCGCGGGAATGGCGTCATCTGGATGGACGAGACGAATTGCACAGGGAGGGAGAGCACATTGTCCGCCTGCCGGGCCCGGCCGTGGGGCATCAATAATTGCTACCACGGGGAAGATGCTGGTGTGGTTTGCTCAGGTGACCAATGCTCCTTCGGCATTGCTCCACGCAAGGTGGCGGGTGGTGTGGGGGGGTGTCATGATGGCGGGTCTGCACCCCCAGGTAAGACTGGGGGTCAGCATCAGCAACCAGTGGGGTTTTCCCGGACCGTCCCTGCACCTGATGGTCCCATTGGACGGCTGCTCTTCCCATCCCAAGATGTTTATTTAAGGTGGTGGGAGGCGTTCCTGCAGGGATCCCTATTTCCCACCCCGCGGGAACCCTCCAGCTCCAACAACAGGACTAACTCATTGCAGGGAAGCTCATCAAAAGTGACCCACCTGGCAAGCAGTTCTTGCAGGGAGTGGGGCTGGGGACCAGTGTGGACCACCCTCTGCAGGGAGATGCTCTGGTGCAGGATGCTCCTGATGGGAGTTTTGGGTTTCACCCCTCCTGTTCTCCCCTCGTCTGTGCCTTTCAGCAGCTTGAAGAGGGGCTGGGAGCTTAATTACAATAGGATAAGCATGGAGGGAAACTGGTGGCTGTCTGAAGGCATCAATAACTCTCTCGGGTGTTTGCAGACTCAATCATCCCCGAGCCCGTTCATCTGCGGCTGGCAAACGGCTCGCACCGCTGTGCAGGCAGAGTTGAGGTGCTTCACCAGGAGGAGTGGGGAGCCATCTGTGACCATGGCTGGGATAAGCAGGACGCCGAGGTCGTGTGCCGGCAGCTGGGCTGCGGGATGGCACTGCCAGCATTGGAGGGAGCGGATTTCGGCTCCGGACCCCCACGCATCTGGCTGGACAACGTGAACTGCCAGGGGACAGAGCCAGCCCTTACAAAATGCCAGGCAAGCCCGTGGGGAGAAAGCAGCTGCAGCCACGGAAAGCACGCCAGCGTGGTATGCTCAGGTGGGTTTCACTCCAGCACCAGCAGTGAGTCAGGATGCACTGGTAATTTCCCCCGTCCCAGTTGGGAGCAAGATGCCAGCTTCACCCCACTTGCTGCTGGGTCAAGTACCCCTAAACCCGTTGAGATGTTCCTCCATGAGGTGGGAATGAGATGCTGTGCATTCAGACACAATGTAACCACACAGCACCAGCTACGTGCCAAAACGCAGCATCCCTCCTCCTCTCATGAAGGGGCTGGATGCTCTGAGCATCTCCCTGCCTGTTTGCAGGCTCGGCTGCTTCCAGCTTCACCCCAATCCGGCTGGTGGATGGCCCAGGTCGCTGCGCTGGGAGGGTCGAGGTGTTTCACGATGAGAAATGGGGGACAGTGTGCGATGACAGCTGGGACTTTGCGGATGCCAAAGTGGTGTGCCAGCAGCTGGACTGTGGGAAGGTGGTATCGGCTCCGCGGCGGGCTCACTTCGGGGAGGGACAGGGACCCATCTGGCTGGACGACGTGCACTGCATGGGGACCGAGGCAGCCCTCTCCGAATGCAGAACCAAGGCCTGGGGTGTCCATGGATGTGAGCATGGTGAAGATGCCAGCGTGGTGTGCTCAGGTAACCACCGCTTGTCATGGCACCAGGAGCACCATGGAAAACCATGGCTCTGGGGTTTGGCTCTGCTTTCCCCTGTGGGTGCAAGATCTTGCGATGCAGGAACAGTTTGCAGCCAGCCTGGAGACCCTTTGCTTTGCAGTCAGCCCCCTGTGGTCCATTCTGGTGGAACAGGGCAGCTGTACGCAGACATTAAAGTCTGAGAAAAACAAATGCCTTGCACATTTGCACAGCTATGGCTAAAAATACGGTCTCTGGCGTGCTTCTGGTTGATGTTATTTATCACAAATCCTGGCAGTTAGCATGGGCCAGAGACTATTCTCATCAGGCAAATTAAAACACAGCCACCTCCTTCTTCACAGCAGGGCAGACGGCAGTACAAATGGGTCTTCTCCCATCACGGTCAGGGAGGACCCTCTGACACCTTCAGCTGATCCATGGTAGATGTAACCCATGACACTTAGAGCTGTATGAGCCCATGAGAGCCCATCTCTCATCCTTCTCTCTCCTCTCCAGCTCTGACTTTCTGCCAGAGGAACCCCTCAGCCCATTTTAGTGCCTTTTAAGAAGCTGGGGCCACTGGATTGCAACCAGGTCACTTAATATCAGGATGGACTTAATATCTGGGTGTCACTGACTGAGACAGCCAGCATTGAATTCAGTTGCCCCAGCATGGGAAGGTAGCATCTCACCCTAGCTGGGGTAAGAGATTCTCCAGGAAAACCTGTGCCCTTCAGGAGCAGCAGCTGGAGGGCAGGTGAAGTATTCCAGAAGTCCCAAATAGCACAAGGACGCCTACATCTTGGCGACTTGACCCTGCCCTATGTGTCTGCTTTAGGAAGGCAAACTATATAAGGTCCATTGACCATGCTAATCAAGCCTTGGGCACCACTTGGGGCAGTTCACATCACACGTCAAAGGTCTGCCCTCTCTGTCATCGCAAGAGCATCCTTGACCCTCAAGGCTCCTGAGCCTCTGATGTAAACCCATTGCTGGCAGCCAGAAGCTTCACAAGGCAGAAGGTATCATCTCCTTATCATGTGTACGCTCTCCGATGTTGTAGGATCGGGCATTTCTGACCTCGGAAACCTCCGCCTGGTAAACGGCTCAGACCCATGCTCTGGCAAAGTTGAAGTGTTTCATGATCAGCGCTGGGGGGGCATCTGCACCGACGGATGGGACCTGGCTGAAGCCCATGTGGTGTGTCAGCAGCTGGGCTGTGGGGAGGCGCGCTCGGCCGTGGGGTCTACCCAGTTTGGGACAGGAGATGGCCTGATCTGGGTGGATGCTGTGGAGTGCACCGGGACAGAGAGGGCCCTCTTCGAATGCAAGGTCAAGTTCTGGGGCGCTGAGAGCTGCAAGTCGAGTGGGCATGCAAGCGTCTCATGCTCTGTGGCCGCAGGTCAGTGGCGGTGAGTCGGGGATCAGTCCTCCCCTGGGGGAGGCCATGCATTCTGACCAAATTCGCCCATCCACCTCCTCCTTGTCCTGGCTCAACCACCCCTTGTTCCTGTGGTCCTATCAGGAAGCACAAGGTGTTTTCTGTTTCAAGGTCTACCAGTCCCTGGCTTCCCTCAGGCAAAGTGCTTGGAAATCCCAAGCCCGGGATTCCCAGAAATCCCAAGCCTGTATAATGGAGGCTTTCCATCAAGCACAAAGAGCCCTGGCATACCAGGGTTGCAGCTGCCCCATGGGGTTTTTTTGGTACATGATACCACACAACCTCTAGTCCTTGGAGAGTCTCTCCTCCTCACCAAGCTATTCCTCGCTCAGGTGCATGATGCACCTGGAGCCTCCTTGCCTGCTTGTCCCCATGGGGATACTCACATCATGGGAGCTCCTCGGTAATTTAGCCAAATTCACAATCTACTGGGCATGGTCCTCACAGGCTTGTCCCAAAAGGTGTTCAGGCATGCACACCCAGGGTGCAGCAGTAGCAGAAATGCTACATGCTGGTGGAGACCTTGCAAGACCCCTTGCAAGGGGAGGGCCACTGCATTGCCAACCACGGGACAGGCAGGCATTTCTGGCAAGGATTTATTGTCCTCCGATTCTGTTTTTAGACTTGGACCTGGGGAGTTCAGAAGCCCTGCGGCTGGTGAATGGCCCGCACCCCTGCGCCGGGAGGGTGGAGGTCTTTCACAGCCAGCAGTGGGGGACCGTCTGTGACGATGGCTGGGACCTGAATGATGCAGCTGTGGTGTGCCGGCAGCTGGGCTGCGGGATGGCCGTGTCAGCCCCAGGTTTATCTGGTTTTGGGCAAGGATCTGGCCCCATCTGGCTAGATGGGGTGAGTTGCCTCGGGACAGAAGCCACCCTTGCTGAATGCCCAGTCAAGCCTTGGGGACACCATACATGTAACCACGTTGAAGACGCTAGCGTTGTGTGCTCAGGTAACTCTCACCACATGCTTTCTCTGTAAGACGGACCAAGCCCTATCCTTCTGCAGGCTGGGAACAGTTTGGGAACAAGTTGGCCAACAAATTGCCCAGATCAGTAGAAACCATGTTAACATAACAGTGTTCAGAGGCATGGAAAAATACGATATGCTGGCAAAAAAAGCAGCATGGCTTAAGACATTCCTCAGTGTCTGGTACCGTTGGAGGTGTCCAAGATGTTTCCATGGTATGAAGCACCTGCACCCTTTGGGGACGGTAGCTGGAACGTGCATGGGTGCTCAAGAGCAGGCAGAGCGACTTGTGCTGCCAGCACTGTAAAATGCAAAGATGTGCAGGTAAATGCAGAAAGATGCACTGGAACCAGCTGCTCTCATGTCATATACCACTTTTGAGCTAACTGCTACCAGTCTAGCCTTGGCCTTGGAAGGTCAACCTCCACAGACAGGTCAATGCAGCATTCAGAAGCAGTCAGGACAGGGACAATCACAAAAAGATCCTTTGCCATTCTCCTCTAGGGCAAGAAGTGGGTAGTCCCAGGTGAACCTAAGTGATGCAGCTTCCAAGCAAGGGGGAAGGAAAGCATGGAGAAACACTGGGAAGGACCCTTGTACATCCGTTCTTCCCAGCATGGTGTCCCTCAGGTGGAGACGTGTGCTTTCTCCTGTCCCGACCTCTGAACCAGGGTGCAACCACCCTCAGGGTGCAACTGGTGGAAGGGATCTTCTGTACCTCCTTCCACCCTGCAAAAACCCCTGTGCTCACTTTCCGGCAAGTCCCTGATAAAGGGCAAGGTCTCTGCACCAGCACCACCCAGACCTGCCACGGGGATGTCCTGCTCTCTCCAACCCAGCAGGTGTTAAGATGCACAAGCATGTCCCTAAAATAATGCTCATTTTTGGGTATTTTTCAGGCTCGGGAATTGGCAACAGCCCCAGGCTTCGCCTGGTGGGTGGTTTAAGCAAGTGCGCCGGGAGGGTTGAGGTGTTTTATAACAACGAGTGGGGGACGGTCTGCGACGACAACTGGGACCTGCGTGATGCGATGGTGGTCTGCCGGCAGCTGGGCTGCGGGGTGGCCATCTCGGCCCCCAGCTCGGCTCGGTTTGGGTGGGGAGCTGGCCCCATCTGGCTGGACGACGTGAGCTGCACGGGGCAGGAAACCAGCTTGGACAACTGTCAAGCCAAGACGCGGGGCATCCACAACTGCCACCACGGGGAGGACGCTGGCGTGGTGTGCGCAGGTGAGAGCGGGGATGGGGCTGGCCAGAGGCAGAGCTCCTGCCGGTACCCAGGGGCGGGCAGCTGGCCCCCTCTGGAGGAGATGCTGTGTGTGCGGGGTTGGTGTAGGAGCTTCTTGCAGCTCTCACCCATGTGTATCTCCTGCACCTTCACCTCAAGGCGAAGTGCAAGGTCCTGCACCCGGGTTGGGGCAAACCCCAGTATTGGTATAGATTGGGGGATGAAGGAATTGAGAGCAGCCCTGCAGAGAAGGACTTGGGGGTACTGGTGGATGAAAAGCTGGAGGTGAGCCAGCAATGTGCGTTTGCAACCCAGAAGGTCAGCCATATCATGGCCAGCAGGTCAAGGGAGGCGATTCTGCCCCTCTACTCCGCTCTAGTGAGACCCCAGACCAGCGTCCAGATCTGGGGTCCTCTGCGCAAGAAAGACGTGGACTTGTTAGAGCTGGTCCAGAGGAGAGCCACAAAAATGGTCAGAGGGATGGAACACCTCTCCTGTGGACAAAGGCTGAGAGCGCTGAGGTTGTTCAGCCTGGAGAAGGCCTTCTTGCAGCCTTTCAATATATAAAGGGGGCTTATAAGAAAGGCGGAGAGTGACTTTTTACCGGGGCCTGTAGTGACAGGACAAGGGGCAAGGGTTTTAAACTGAAAGAGTGTAAATTTAGATTGGACATAAAGAAGAAATTTTTTACAATGGGGGTGGTGAGACACTGGCACAGGTTGCCCAGAGAAATTGTAGATGCTGCATCCCTGGAAGTGTTCAAGGCCAGGTGGGATGGGGCTTTGAGCAACCTCATCTAGTGGAAGATGACCCTGCTCATTGCAGGGGGGGTTGGACTAGGGGATCTTTAAAGGTCCCTTCCAACTCAAACCATTCTATGAGTCTATATTGGAAGTGGTCACGTTCAGGTTGGACAGGGCCTTGAGCAACCTGATCTAGTGCAAGGTGTCCCTGCCTGTGGAATGGGAGTTGGACTAGATGGTCTTTAAAGGTCCCTTCCAACCCAAACCCTGCAGCCAGGCATCAGGCCCAGGGTTTTGTCCCCCCCAGTAAAATGGCAGCACCCGGTCGTGTCAATGCCTTTTTTAATCAATGCCATCAATACCGGAACGCTGACCCTGCCCTGCTCCTTCCTGGAGGCACATGGGGTGCTGATGGTGGGGGTAGTCCATGGATGTAGGCAGGGGGTGGTCCAGGGATGTGGGGGTGCCCTCCAGCCATGTGTCCACCTATTTCTCTCTCTCTCCACAAAAGCAGGCAACTCCAGCTCATCCTACGTGCGGCTGGTGGACGGGCCACATCATTGCACCGGGAGGGTGGAGGTGCTCAACGCCGGGCAGTGGGGGACGGTCTGCGATGATGGCTGGGACCTGAACGATGCAGCGGTGGTGTGCAGGCAGGTGGGCTGCGGCAGAGCTGAGGCAGCCCCCGGTCGGGCTTACTTCGGGCAGGGGACGGGGCGCATCTGGTTGGATGACGTGACCTGCACCGGGAGCGAGGACGCCCTCGCCCAGTGTCGAGCGCGTCCCTGGGGCCAGACTAACTGCCACCACGGAGAAGATGCCGGCGTGATGTGCTCAGGTAGGTCCTGCTCCTACAACACAGGGTGTCCCGGTGGGACCGGGGGTGTCCATCCTGCATCTTGCTGCCTCTGGGGTGATGCTACAGGGGGATGGTCAAGCCCTTCCTGGGATGGTGGTTCCTTTCGCCCCAGCCCTGGGCACTGCCACCAGCACCACATGTGTCCCCAACCCATCGTGACATTTCTGCAGTGCTTCCAGTCACCAGCATAACCAAAACATTGACTGTCCGGCTCGTGGACGGCCCGCATCACTGCGCCGGGAGAGTGGAGGTCTTTCACAACCAGCAATGGGGGACGGTCTGCGATGACGGTTGGGACCTGAGTGACGCGGCAGTGGTCTGCCGGCAGCTGGGCTGCGGGACGGCCACCGCGGCCCCAACAGGGGCTTCTTTCGGGAGGGGGCTGGATCCCATCTGGCTGGACAGGGTCGCCTGCGTCGGGGGGGAGAACACCCTCGTGGATTGTCAGGCCAGGCCCTGGGGAATCAACAGCTGCACCCACGAAGAGGATGCCGGCGTGATCTGCTCAGGTGATGCTCATTCTTGAAGCGTCCTAAAAGCATAGCTTGGAGCTGCTCTCTCCACTCCCCCCTCAAAAAAAAGCCTTTTCCTCTCCAATCTAACCCCAGAAGCTTTGCCTGCAGGATGGAGATTTCAAGGGCACGGGTGCTTGTCCCCTTGGCAGACAGTGTTGGTTCCCATCCCCACACCCCAGTAGCCCATGGAGCTGCCCCGATCCAACTGCCCTTGGCCCAGCTGAGCAGGGAAGGGGGGGGGGAAAGGACAATGACACCTGGTTTGGGATGCGGGCTGCACTGAGACTCTGCTGGGTCCCAGTGAGGGTCTGAAAGGGGGAGAGGGGGATTTACTTCTCCCCTTCCCCATCAGGGACTGAGTCTGGAAGCCGAATGTAAGTGCCTGGTGGTGCTTACAAAGCCCGAAGGGCCATGCCTGCCTGCACGTCTCTGCAGGCAGGGCTTAGGGCAGGATCTGTCCTCCCACCCCAGCGTGGCTGGGCATCTGCCCTAGGTTTGCAACCCGGCTGCTGCCAGCAGAAAGCCCCTTCCCTGGACATGCGGTCCTCTTGTCCTCAACGCTGCATCGCCTGCTTCTCTGCCTGCAGATGAGGTCAGGGCAGAGGTCCGTCTGGCAGGACCAAACCGCTGCGCTGGGAGGGTGGAGGTGCTCTACGCCGGGCAGTGGGGGACGGTCTGCGATGACGGCTGGAACCTGAACAACGCGGCGGTGGTGTGCAGGCAGGTGGGCTGCGGCAGAGCTGAGGCAGCCCCCGGTCGGGCTCGCTTCGGGCAGGGGACAGGGCACATCTGGCTGGATGATGTGACCTGCACCGGGAGCGAGGATGCCCTCACCCATTGCCGAGCCCATCCTTGGGGGCAAAGTAACTGCCACCACGGAGAAGATGCCGGTGTGGTGTGCTCAGGTAGGTCCCATCCTGTGACACAGGGCATCTGGGGACACACACAGAGAGCAGGGTCTATCCTGCATCTGGCTGCCTCTGGGATGATGCTAGCCTTGGGAAGGCATGTTTTTGGGGGAGAGGAGCTGGCAAAGGGTCGTAGCCTCTTTTTGGCTAGGCTTGCCCCCAACCCAGCAACAGATTCCCACCCCATTCATAACCAACATCTCATTGAAACCTTCACACACACACACCCCCAGGGCACTAAGCAAGCCCAGCCTGGTCTCCATTGTCTGGTCCACATGCTTGCATGGAGGAGACATCACCATTTTAGGATATAAAGGTGCAACTGAAGTCCATACCTACAGCCATGCTCTCCTGGAAGGGCGGGGGGGGTTGTGTCTCTTGCTGGGGTGGACCATAATGACTCTGTATTTGCACTCTGGCTTCTGGTTTAGGGATTTTTTAATAATTTTTTTTGTGAGGTGATGAGTGCCCTGTTCTCCTTTCCTAACTGGATTTCTCCTGGCAGATGCCAACTTCACAGAGGTGCAAGTCCGCTTGGCCAACGGCCCAAACCGCTGCGCTGGAAGAGTCGAGGTGTTTCACGAACACCAGTGGGGGACCATCTGCGACGACAGCTGGGATTTGAAGGATGCCAAGGTGGTCTGCCGGCAGCTGGGCTGCGGGACAGCCGTGTCAGTCCCAGACCAAGCTCACTTCGGGCATGGGTTGGACCCCATCTGGCTGGACAACGTGGAGTGCACTGGCATGGAGACCACCTTCTCCCAGTGTGGCCTTAGCAACTGGGGACTCCATAACTGCAACCACGATGAAGACGCGGGAGTCGTGTGCTCAGGTGGTCCCCGGGAAGGGGGGAATGCTCAGATGCCCCCAAAAAAAGGGTTTTATCTGGGATTGGGAAGCTGGCAACACTGGTGGGACATCAGGAGCTGGGAGGGTGGGGGGCAATGGTGCAGCAGGTACAGGAGACGCATGGCACGCACGACCATCCTTGCACGCGTGTGCACCTTGCATGCCCCTCTCCCATCTGCCTGCAGGGTTGGAGGGGCCGTCTCACCCCCTTTGCATCCTCTTGCAGGCACAAACCCCTTGCAGGTACGGCTGCAGGACCACTCCGGTCCCTGCGCGGGACGGGTGGAGGTGCTTTACAACGCTACCTGGCATGGGGTGTGCAGCACTGGCTGGAGCCTGCTGGAAGCCGAGGTGGTCTGCAGGCAGCTGGGCTGCGGGCCAGCCTTGTCGGTGCCCGTCGGAGCCCGGCAAAGCCAGGGGGACGGCCATGCCTTGCTGGAGGGGCTGAGCTGCCGGGGGACTGAGTCGCTGCTCCTGGAGTGCCAGCAGAGAGAGACAGGGCTGGGGCCGTGCAGGCAGGGCTCGGCAGCTGGCGTAGTGTGCACAAAGCCGAAGGGTGAGCACCGGGATGCTCCGTGGTGTCTGTGCTGGTTGGGGGGAGAAGGTCCCAAGGGGAGAAGAAAGTGGAAAGGTGGCACATGTTCATCCCCGCAAGCTCTTGAGGGCCTTTCCTGGGGGATGCGCCTCATTTTCCGTCACCCTTGGGAGCATCAGAGATGCTTTCCCGAGTCCAAAACACACTCACCCCTCCCATTTCTTCTTGGAGCCCAAATTTCCTTATTCCCCCCCACCCCAAACCCAGGACCAGCCCTTGTTTCTCAGATAGGTTGTGGTAGAGCTGGGACAACTTTCAAAGACGGAGGAGGGTCAGAAAAAAGCCTGTGTGAGATGTAGCACCCCAAATCTTAAGTGGGACAATGCACCAGAGAACTGATGGAGGTTGTAACAGCAGCAGGAACATGGAAGGTCGCTTTGACCCCTCCATCCCATCATCCACACAGGGAAATGGGTCTTAATGTGAAGACTAATTAAGGAAAGCCCATCCCCACCACGAGCTGAGCTGCTGGGGAAGGTCAGGCTGTGTTCAGTGTTAGGTTTTCTTGCACGCTGTTACTGGTCTTGGCTGGAAATGGGATCCAAAGTCTGTTCTCCCAACCCCAGGTGCTTCACCATCCTGCTCGGTGCTGATAGCACTGCTGGCCCTGGTGATGCTGCTGAGCGGGGTCCTGCTGTGGCTCAACCTGAAGAGGAGGTGCATGGCAGCAGCCGACGCTGGAGGTGACAGTCCCATCCCTATGTGTCCCCCTCAAACTCAGGATCCCCACTCCGGCCACCCCAAAATCCAGGGGGACAGGGAGATGGGGATCAGCTCAGCATCTGCTAGAGCCTGGTGACAGCCCGGTGTCCCCTCCATCTCACAGCCCGTCAGCACCCCAGAGACCAGAGCACTTCGGCAACGTCCTTCCAGCCCATGGGGACCATCTACCTCCCCACCAAGGCAGAAGCCTCCGAGGACCCTGACACTGAGACAACGCAGCTCATGACAGAAGACACTGCCCCATGATACCAGCCCCCCCCAAGCTTGTGCCCCGGGGGTCGCACTAGGCTCCCGCTGCCGTCCTTTTCCCTAATCTGCCTTCCTGAAGACTGCAAAGCAGCAGCTGATGGGCAGGACATCTCAAAAGCAGCCAGTACTAATGATTTATATCAGGAGCCCTGAAAAAGCCCACCCAAGGGGGGGGGGGGGGGTGTTGCCCAGTGTGGTGATGTTTATTTAACCCACCTTCACACCCTCTGAGCAGCCCCCGTGGCTCAGGAGGAGCCCAACAAACCTGGCAGCCAGTGCAAGGCTGAGCTAAAGGAGCAGAGGAGCAGAAGGAGGGGTGCAAACTAATTAAAAGGGGGTCCCCAACCCTCTAGGTGTGATGGGCATGAGTGCTGGGGGGGTGGAACATGAGCTGCTTTTGTGGTCCTCTGCCACAGCGTCCCCCAGACCTTGGATGGAGGCAAGTCCCCCCTTTTCTTGACCATGCCAGGTGCCAGAGCTGCAAAGTGCATTACCCCACAACCCTGAATACTCAGCCATCCTCCCTGGATGTGTTTTGGGATGGCCACAGAGCCCCATTTTCCTTGCCCTGTGCCCCCAGCCTGCCACCATCCCTTGGGGACCCAACCATGGGGAACCTCCCTGCTGAGGTTCATGGGGGCACAAGACGTGCTCTTGCCTGGTAGCTCATGGTTCTCTGCTGGCACCCCATGCCTAAAACCATGCCAGTGCAGAGGGACCCCGCTTTCAGCCTCATCTCAGGGTCTGTCAGGCTCGCAAACTGAGGGCTGTGCCCCCAAAGCACCTGGGATGATGGGAGGGAGGCCAGGAGGCCCAATAAGCAGAGGTCCCAACAGCAGGAGATGGCATCTACTAAGGCAACTGATGCCTTCCTTGCCAGAGACTGAAGTAAACGTGGGTGCATTGTGCTCGGTCCTCTCTCCAGTTTCCCCAAACATGACATCCCCAAACTGGAAGAGGCACAGAACCAAAGGTTTTTCCACCTTTCACAATGCTTCTCCTTTTTCCTGTGACGCTTCAGAGGGGCTGGAGAGCACTGTCCCCAAATTAGAAGCAAAATCAGAGTCAGGGCTGCTTGGGGCCCATCACATTCAGAAATAAATTGAAAGACCTCCATGCAAACCCCCATGCTCCTCACCCCACGTGAAGCTGTCTCCTAAATCCCACCTGAAAAACTCCAGGAGCTCACCAGGTGCTGGAGCAAACATCTCAAGATGGATTGGAAAAGTTGGGCAGTGCCAGCATGAGATCATACCCCCCCAGGCCCCAGCTGAGAGGGGAGCAGAGGGTCTGCAGGACAGCCAAGCAGCACAAAACCTGAAATAATTTCCTCCAGCAATGAGATCATCCCTTTCCTTGCCAACTACCAAGATGGTGTTGGCCATAAGGCCGTAATTTGGTTATCTTATCCATTGCTTGGTGACCACACAACACGTGATCCCAGCACATGAAAAAAGCCTCAATTCCAAGACAGGCATCTCTGGGAGCAGCCACTCTGAGGCTTGAACCACCAGAGATGGTCCTCTCCCCACATCTGAAATGCAGCAGATCAGGAAGGTAAACCTCCCTTTGGCCTCCAGGATCCCAAAGGCTGGAGATCCCACAGGGCAGGATGCCCATCAAAGGCTAGAGCTTGCCCAACCACAAGAGCACACAGTCTAGCTACCACCTACCTAGTGCCACCTGAGATGCCCTCAATCACCCCAGACACTCACAGCAGGGCTGGCATATAGGACATCGGGACTATAAGAGATGTAGGCTCTCCTGGAAGAGGAGCTGAAGGTCAACTGCATACCCCAGATCATCTCTGATGGTCTCAGCAGTTGAATGCAACCCCAGATCTCCATCAATTGCTTGGACAGCCCTTGCCCACCACCACAGGGACATGTGGACAAAGCAGATCCCAGGATGGGAACCTGCTGAGATGTGTCCACCACCGGCTGGGCTACAGAGGATGTTCAGGGACAGGCTCAACCCCGAAATCAAATCACAACCTCACAACCTGCAGCCTGAAACAGCCTTATGAAGAGGCCAGAGCTGCCCCAGTGCTGTCTCAAGGGCTGAAATGGGGGGAAGTTGGGAAGCTGTGGGCCAGGGGAGACCAACATGACCAGGAGGCCCACAACCATCCTTGCAGGGGAATCCACCAGCCCAAATCCCAAAGATGGCTTGCTGGCCCATCTTGCACGCATCTGTGGAGTGCAGGCTCAGCAGCGCCAAGTGGGATCCACCCCATACCTGCGATTTTGCAGGTCTCTCCTTACCACATCTGCTGGCAACACATGCCAGGTGACTTCCCACACATGGCTGAAGGGCACTGGGAGAAGGTACTGGGTGGGAAGGAGGTAAGACCACCAAGGACTGTACCACCACCAAAAGCCTGTGTCAAGACCCAGCTAGACATGGCCATGAGCTGGAGGAGGTGATGAGACAGAGCCATCATTAAATAACCATCCTGTAATTAGTGTGCAGAGCGTCAAGGAACGCACACATCCCACCCCCCCACCCCCGTTCCCAGCGCTACAGGGACTGTACGAAAAGGGGGGACAGGGTGGGACCTGGGATATCCAGGAGTCCGAGGGCATCAGCACAGGTGAGGACAGGGCTCCTGTCTCACCCTCGCGAGCAAAGGTCCATGTGCCACCCTCTGCTTGGCAGCCATCAGCCAAGGGGGCACAAATCCAGGCTCCAGCAGCAGCACAGGGGTAGTTCTGGGAAGCGAGAGAGGAGGAAGAGGATGATGATGCAGGGAGCTGGTCATGTCTCGCTTGCCCATACCCCATCCAGGTTCCTGCCTGGAAAGTCCCAGGAGTGGTTGGAGAAGAACTTACAGCGCCAGGTGTAACTTGCTGAGGCTCCCAAAATGGACGGCAGCAGCATGTCCCCCCCTTTCTTCTGCTCCCTACCAGCCCCGCCAGCACCCTGGGGCAGAAAAAAAGGGGATGATTAACTGGGTCATTAGCAGCAGCATGAGATATGGACGGGACACTTGAACCCAAAAAGGCTTCGGGGGAAAGGGAGGTGCCCGCTCCTCGCTCTTCCCCGTGATCCTTTCCGCTACCCGTACCGTTGTCGTATCTCCCTCCCAAAAAGACAGGCAAGTCTGTCCCCTACTGCAGGCAACAGCGTGCCCCAACTCCCTGGGAGCCCCCAGCCCAGGCTGAGCCATGCTCACTGGGATGACTGGGGAGGGGGATCTTGGGGTGACTTAGAGGGGGTCTCAGCCCTCCTCCCCACACAAGGGCAAAGAAGAGGGCTCCTGCCTGCCCACTGGTGGTGTGCCATGAGCCATGGCATGCCCACCAGGAGCTTGCAGCCATCCTGGCCCACGGGCTTGGGGAGGGTCCTGCTGGGATCCCTTGGAGGGAGGAGGAAAGCACGGCATGAGTCCAGGTTCGGCGAAAAGCTGGGGCTCAGGAGAAGTGCCGCAGCTTTTTGGGGGTCCACGCTGGCCCTCAGGCGCACGTACAGGGTCCCCCAGCCTGGGGCTCATCTGCTGTTGGTGGCGGCGTGCTTATCACCGCCGTGGCCTGACGACACCGTGGCTGCGCTTGCCGCGCCGGGGCTCAGCCGTCGCGGTGAACGCGCTGGTGCTGCAGCAGGTTGGAGGGATGAGCAAAGCCCTTGTCGCAAACACTGCACTTGTAGGGGGTCTCACCCGTGTGCACCTTCTCATGCACGGCCAGGTAGGCCAGGTCCTTGAAGAACTTGTGGCAGAAGCTGCACTTGTAGGGCCGCTCCTGGCTGTGCACGCGGTGGTGCTGGAGGAGCAAGGAGGGCCGGGCAAAGGCCTTCCCGCACACCTCGCACTTGTAAGGACGTTCCCCTGTGTGTGCCCGCTCGTGGATCACCAGGTATGACGACTGCTTGAAGGCCTTCCCACAGGTTTTGCAAACGAAGGGACGCTCGCCGGTGTGCACTCGCTCGTGGGAGGAGAGAGCGTTGGATTGCTTGAAGCCCTTGCCGCAGAGCGGGCAGACGAAGGGGCGGTCGCCTGTGTGCACCCGCTCGTGCACCTTGAGGCTGTGCCCGTAGGTGAACTTCTTACCGCAGACCCCGCAGACGTGGGGTTTGTCATCGCAGTGCTGGCGCTGGTGGAGGAGGAGGGCGTTGGAGGTGGGGAAGTCCTTCCCACAGTCAGCGCACTTGAAGGGCTTCTCGGCGCAGTGGGTAAGCGCGTGACGCTGCAGCTCGTAGGGGGTCTTGAAGCTCTTGGCGCAGCGGGGGCAGCGGAAGGGACGCTCGCCACTGTGGATGCGCCGGTGCTCTTGGAGGTTGGAGGAACGCTTGAAGCGCTTCCCGCAGAGCTCGCAGCGGAAGGGTCGTTCCTCCGTGTGGACCAGCCGGTGGCTTTTGAAGTCCGAGTGGCGCTTGAAGGAGGCCTGGCAGAGGTCACAGCGGAAGGGACGCTCCTCGTTGTGTACCACCTCGTGGCTGAAGAGCTCCCAGGCCCGCTTGAAGGCCTTCTCGCAGACGCCGCACTGGAAGGGCTTCTCGTCCACGATCACCTCGCGGATCTCCAGCTCGCTGACGCCACTCGCTCCCCGTTTCGGATGGGCCGGCAGTCCCACCGCTGCCGCCTCCTCCAGCTCACCCACCGTGCTCCCCAGCACCAGCTTGGCGGTGGAGTAGATGCCACGCTCGTCAATCAGTTGCACAAAGTCCGGCTTGGGACGGGCATCGCTGGAAAGGGGCAGCTCGGGGGAGCAGGACCGAGACCCTCTCTCCTCCTCCTCTTCCTCGCTGCTCCGCGGCACCTCCTCCAGCCCATTCTCCATCGCCCTCTGTCTGAAGTCACCTGTCCGGCCCCAGATCAACCGCAGCCTCTTCCCCCGGGAGGGTCCCGGCTCTTCAGCGCTCTCCCCTCGTCCTGGGGATGTGGGGGCCCGGCTTGTCTCAGGCTTCAGGCACAGCCGGTGCTTCCGCCGGCATGGCCGTAGCTCACCCGGCACCTGGTGGCACGGGGAAGCTCCCTCATCCTCATCAGTGTTCTGGCA